CAAATGGCATACATATATCATGCATAAGAACATGATAATTTTCTTTGATTTTGTGATCGATTGTGGTGCTTCAATAATAACTATTTTGACATGTCAAATTATAAGGCCATGACAAAATCCCACGTAGTACAGAGAAAGCGAACGAACGGGCGTACGAATGAATGTATGTGTGATGCTAGTTTTTGTTGTTCTCGTCTGTGCAAGTGTGCACACGATGAATAAATTGAAAATTACACATTGTTTGATTTCAACACAACGCCAACAATAATAATATTATGTAAACATGTCACATTCAATTATGTTATTAGGTTTATTTTAGGCCCCCTCTTCATCCCCTTTCTTTGTGATTTACATTGAATGCACGCAAAATTTGGCGCACCGTGTTGACAAATGAGTAAATACATAAAATTGGAATGAATTGGCGTAGCGAAAAAAAAACAGCAACAACGCCACGACAATGAAAAAAGTGCAACTGCCAAAATTTACATGAAATAGAAACAATGCATTGATTTATCTTCTTGTTTTTTTTTTTTAAATATTGTATATGCACATTTGTGATGCAGCATTTTTGCATAGTGCAATTTAAATGAGGTAAACCGTGCGTGTTTCGATCATCAAATAAAAATTAACACCCACCAACGGTGACAGTTGCAACGATGAAACTGATGATGCGCTTAATGATTGCAACATGTGCCATGCATTGCACGAAAAATGCACATCATTTGCACAGCAATAGATACCAATCGGCTTTTTTGTTACTATATTCGAAAATGTAAAGGTGTCATCAACGCTTTTGCGTGGTTTGAGCTGGCAAAATTATTCGTCAATTGAGCATAAGTGTAGAAAATCACACTTTCTATTTGAATACGATTTACAACATGTGAAAGAATTTTGCAATGCAAGGACTTGGCTCTCTTTCAAAAGAGAAAAAAATCGCTTCCACAATAAATTGCGGAACATTGTTTCGGAAAACATTAAAAAAAAAATCAAATCGCAATTCGTTATTAGATTCAATGCGGCTGTTGTTATTGAAAACGAATCGAGCAACAGTCGTTTTTACAGTGAGCGCATACCTTGCTTCAGTTGGCGAGGGCGTTCTACAGATTTTCCTTACTTTTCTTGATTGTTTGTGCGCGTGTGTATGCTTTCATTTGCCTCTGCTTAAGAACTTTAGTCACGTCCATATATATGAGCCACGTTTTTTTTATTTTTCGTGCCGAGTTTGTTTCATTTTTCTTTTTCAACAACTTTATATGTATATGTTATTATGTGCTGTCTTGGACGAACTCTGCTACACAAGACACATATTTGCAATTCAAGAAAATTTGACGGTCTTTCCGGTCAGTTTCCGTTCGGTTTCTGCCGGTTTAATGTGTACGTGAATTCAACAAACGTGAATGCATGCTTCACAAAATAGGTAGCAACAAAAATGACACAAATCGTATGATACATTCCTATCTGTGACCATTTATAATACACATGTATCTAAATACGTGTTTGTTTTTAGATGCTACTTGATATATTAAATGATTCATTTCAGCAACATGGTTGTTGAATTTCATTCAAATCCCATTTTCCGTGCACGATATTTTCCAAGTTTGTACAGCCACAAAATTGTAAGAAATGCTTCGAAGGAGAAAATCGTTCGGTAAACACACACGCACAAAAACTAAATGGCTGGAAAATCGGACATTTTAAACAATAAAATGTGTGTGCCATCGTCATACGACTGATAATAATATATGCCATTGTCATATATGCTCTCTATCTCTCTCTACCTCTCATTCTTTTCATTTACCTGTCTCTTTGTAGAAATTCACAATCAATTGATTAAGAATTATTTACAGAGAAACAAAACCCACTCGTTCGTGCAAATGTCCTTTATACATCGTACACACACTTGAATACCAAATCGATTCAAATAAATCGATTTAATTTCAATATCTTCATTCAATTCCACAAGTCCACACAATTCGAATGCAAAATACAGAAATTGTAACGATTTCCATGCCATAAATCAAATTTAAATTACCTATCAAAACAATTTTAATTGAAATACAGGTTACTTCAGTTTCGTTGCAATTTTTACGGGTTTTTTTCTTCTTCTTGGACAAAATGATTGCTCCATTAAGATATACGTCAAGCCATCGATTTGGTTTGCAATAAAAAGTTAAAGATGTGTTTTGTTTAAGCCAATTGATATTGGGTTTGGTATGCATTAAGCAGAAATGAGAGCGAAAAATTAAAAGATACATTTTGTTGGTGAGGAAAAATCGTATCGAAATGATATGTCAATTTATCGCAAACGTGAACGGTGTAGTAGTTACAGATTGTACAATTTTGGAAGCAAAATAATTACTTAATTGGCTAACGGCTATTTTTTGAGGCTCACCTTTGAATGTAACGCAAGGGAAATAAACAATTTTCATTTCTGACCGTTCGACAGATAAGGTGCGCATGTATCAACACTTAATATCGATATAGCCTCACGCTCTCGATCGATTTTGCGAGAGTGGAAACTCTGTGCCTGTTGCGAATGTAGCGTGAAAAGAACGCAATAATTGAATTTCATATTTGCTCCATTGAAGCAGTTTATTACCAGAATATTTATTTCTAACGAACTGTAAACCAAAACTGAATGGAACATTTAAGTTCATTCGGAGTTAATATATTCTTTTTTTCTGGTTTCGTTTGTAAAAAAAAGAAACATTTAATTTTCACTTAAAATACCCGAAAAGCGGTGAATTTTTTTTAATGCTTTCCTTTTTTCTGCGGAGCATGAATTTTTTGTTTTCTACAGTAAAAGTATATTATGATAACTTTCTTTGCGTAATATCCGCTTTCATAAATATAATTGACCATATAGACAATGTATGTTTTCCATACAAACACTGTAGTCACTTACAGTCAGTGGTGATTTGGTCACCTTTTTTCACTGGGAATTCACTATTTGCATAGTGAACTTATTTCGGTTCAATTGCATTTCAACACGTATGGTTTCATTGGTTCGAAATCAAAAAATTGAATTTATGTATGAAAAACTGACCACAAAAGTTGTTCGGGTTTTCAATAGAAAACATTCAAATTTGGTAATTTGAAAATTGGATTTTTGCAAATGTATATTGCTCCTTATGAGGAAGTAAATGATTGCGCATATGTGGCGCCATCTTATATTGTTGCGATAAAGTCTTGAACACATTGCTTGTAGACAATATGTACAAGAGTCGACTATAGACGAATTAGCCGCAACCATATAAGGTGTTGCTTTGGTCGATGTCAAATTAGTGTTACGCTCTCTCGGATTTTTGCTTCTGACGCATATTGAACCGGGTCGAATCCACATATTCCATAAGATACCTTCGTTGTTCACTTCAAAACCAAATGCAATTGAACTAAATTAAATTCACTGACGCAAATAGAAATATATGTATGACACACTTGTGAAGTTCAGTTTCTTCTTTAGAAAACTTGTGGAATTTCAACCATATGATCGATCCGCATATGACTTGCGGTGATGGATTGTCTTATAAATCAAACGCGGATCGAATAATTGAATTTTGAATTTATTCCTCTGAAGCATTAAATTGAATGAACGTTTCAGCTTGAAATTAATACAAAAATATGCAATTGGAAAAACTTACACGAATTCAAATACGCCCCCAAAAGAAGTATACAAATATTGAGAGTATGGTATTCATATTCTCATATTCATTCTCTATGTGTTTCTGGTTATTCGTTATTGACAAAAATTATTCCGTCAAAAAGTTCGTTCGTGCGTTTACATTTCTATATCGCAAACAATATTTAATGCAAGCGTGAATTTAAATATGTATTATCTAGTTTGTATCTATTCTATCTAGTATTTGATGACATGCAATTGGTGTTCAGCTCTCTCTCTCTTTCTTTTTCGCTCACGCTTTTATGGATGGGAGTAACAAAAAGAGCGCCCCCGAAAACAACAAAAAACGAGAAGAATCGAATCGAGCGGAAAATAAAAAAAAGTCTCCTTTAGAAGCGGCGCATCATGAGCATGTGTGCATATATATTTTCTCAATTGAATCGCACAAAATCTTGCGTACACAAGCAAATATGAGTAATGTGTTTTATTAACAAAGCAAACGAGTCTACTTGTACGCTGTTGAATTTTTCGTCAGCCAGTATGGGTATTTATGCTTGGCTTGATGTTTGTCTATCCTCCGCCTTCCGTGCATTCTTTCTCTCACTCTCACTCTCTATCTCTTTTGGTCTTGCTCCCTTTTATGCCATATATCGATTGACGTTACTCCTTGTCTCCCGGATTTCGAATGGAAACTCCATTCATTTGTTGTCACACAGAACACTGGATCAGTAAAAATGTGAATGGGGATGCTTGTTCGAATGGTTGAACATTGTGCTATGACGAGAACATTGAATAACGGCATTTATTTCAATGAAAAAAGAAACCATTCAAACGATATGCGGAAAACACCCTTTTTCCACTGTTTATTTGTAGAAAAGCTTTTGCAATATCTAAATTGAATTACTTAAAAATTCTCTCTTCGACATTGGCCGTTTTTTTTGTGTGTGTTGGTTTGGTTTTTTCGTTACATTCACTCGTAGGGATAGCGCAACAACACGCTATTTGGAATCGATGTCACACATTCATTCATCCATTGAAAAATCGTATGCTAGAATACATTCAATACCGTAGCATTTCTTCCATGTTTATCCAATTATGTAAAACTTTTGAACAAGCAAAAATAGAAGAAATTCAATTACAATCACTGCATACAAATTCGTTCGCTATTTGAAAAGTTCACGTAAATAGAAATCAAATCAGAAGAGAGATAAAATATAAGGAAAAACATACACAAACTCCGAAAAACAATACAAAGACATTATTTATTTATTTGTTTTACAAAATTTTCAAAGTAATATTCAACTTTGTTTGAAATAAAAATTAATGCTTCAGTTTTTCTTTTGTTTCATTTTGAATATAACATTGTTAAATGGATGGTATAAAAAATTGTCGAAGAAAAGAATTTGAAATATTCGACTTCGAATCGCTTTAGTTTTATTGCAACAAGAATTTCAAAGTAAATGAATTTGATACAAAAATCTTTGTAATTATTGATTATTAACAATAACTTTTACGCCTGAAATTTTAATTACAATAGCAATTTTACTGGAATAAATCCAATTTTAAAATATCTTGTGCAGAAATTTCGCACATGAAGAAATGTCTTGCATTTCGTTTGATCAATAACAATAATGTATCAAATAAACATGATGTAAGAAACAAAAATAACGTGTTAAATAACATAAACTTAAAATTCAAATATGTATCCATTACAATGTTTCACGCGATCGAATTTAATTTCGCGTACTCTTATTGAGAATATCTATAAATATATTTTTTTTGTCAATTTCTTATGATTTCGTCCACTTTTTGTGGTTGGCGCCGTATATAATTTTACGCAAGCTGATCATCATCACTGTCTTCTTCAGCATCATCGTCATCATCTTCTTCACTATCTGTATTACTATAGTCGCTTCCCTTCATAGCTGACAAATCTATATCAAGATATTCTCGATTTGCTAACAAAATACTTTCGGGTACTTGTATATCTGTTCTTAGGTTATCTGAAATCGTAATGCTGAATCTTTTTTCCTGTCTCTCGTTATTTTGAATGGCTTTCAATAATGATGTGTAGCCTTCTTCCGTTAATTTGAAATAACAATCCCGTTCTAAAGCTAGATATTCAAAATTCTTTCCCAATTGCACCATTCGAATCAATGTATCGACAGTTAGTGTAGATTCAGACTCCACATCATATTCTAGACATAAAAACCTGAGTAATGGTAACTCAGCCACTAAAATAACCAAGTCATTACCTGTCACTTGTAATTTAATTAGAGACAAATGGAGAAATTGTAATGTCTTCAGATTTCCTAAACTTTTAATGTCTTCTGAGCTAATGAAAAAATTCCTCAAAGTTAATTCTTCAATCAGAATATTTTCGTTTGAAAATGCTTTCATGAGTTGTGGTATTACCTAGATGAAGTGATGGATGAAAAAAAAAATGGAAATTATCAATAACTAATGGAAAGGAATGGAAAATGACATTTTAAAAGAATTGTGTTATTACTTTACTATAGCTTCCATATTGAATATCAATTTGGAGCTTCTTCAATTTCTTTAATTTGCCCAATTGAAGGAGACCGTTGACAGTATAATTTTGAGGCTGAATTTTTTTTGATCCAACTCTGCAAAGGTATAATTCTTCTAAATCTTTTCCATGCTCTACGACATTTTTAATAAATTCATCATCGATTAAATCGTTGATTGTCAGATTTTTCAATTGTGGATTCAGGCTTAGTATATCAAAAATCGTGTCGCGTTCTTTACACCATATATCGAGTGTTGTCAATTTTGGGAAGAGCTGTACCAAAAACTTACAGCTGCATCCAAAGAAGTTCAACGTTTCTAGTTCCGGACAATTTCTAAACACTGCATTCCAATCCTCTTTATAGTCCATGTCACAAGTATATAATGATAAATATTTCAAGCGTGGCATCAAGAGGGCACTTTTATCACAAGTAATTGTCACTTTTGTCAATTCAAGGCATTCCAAATTTTGAGAACAATATTTTACGATGTCATCAAATGTAATTCCCAATTGATCATAATTCTTAGTATCGAGGTCAAAGGAAGTAATCAAGTGACCAAATTTATAGATCACACGACGAATTACCGACACTTTTAAATCACGTGAACGCCAAAAGAAATGTCTGTGGTAGCGTTTGAATACTTGCTCGGTGATTGGTGATGTTTTGAAACGTTTGCATACATTCGCAACATGACACAAACTTTCGACGTTCAAATACCCGAAAACGGCATACAAGCAATCGTCATTCAATTGTAAAAATGAACTGGTTTCTTCTTGCAGTTCCGATGTAGATGACTCATCAGTTTTGATTCCTTGGCAACGCCGCTTGGCAATCGATTCATCCAAATGTGACATTTCTGATAAATCTAACAATATTGAATTTGACTATTGAATTGATTTTATATTTGATCATTGGAAGAAAGAAAAATACCTTTTCTATGGACACCACAATAATATTGCACCACGTTGGTGTAAGTTCTTCTGTTGAAATCAGTTATTTTTGACTAAATGGATATAATGTTTTTGTCTGTATGAATTTAATTTATTGTATCGTTCGCTTGTGTGTCCGCACTTTTTTAATTGTTTAATTTAACAATAAAATGACTTGAATTTCACTTTACGGCGTTTCCCTACAAAAATGTTGGGGGTATGATGAAGCGGCTTGACATTCACTAATGACATATGACATAAGTTGAACTGAAGTACAAGTGAATACCTGATACCTGATTACTTCAGGACACTTTGTATTTATTCAAGAAAATTAAAACGAAAATATTTTCTTAACAATATTTATTTATTATTTGAAATTCAATAAATAATTTTATTCTGAAATGCGTACACAACAACCGCTTTAAGCATCGCAATCAGTCGCAGTATTTGAAGTTACTTAAGACTTAGTAACTAAAGTTCTTTAAACTATAGCACGTAATTGAGTACGTAGCCTAGGTTTACACATCTTTCCTGGAATGCATTTTAATTATACATCTGCATACAGAATAGTTTTCATTCGTAATTTTGAAAAATTATCTACTTTTTTCAGATTCAAATAAATCGATTAATCAATAATTAAAAGTAGTTTTCAGAGTTTGATCATTGTAGATCAAAAATTTGACTGTAGCTTGATGTGTGTACCTCAAGTGTTCAAATTTTCACACACAAATTATATAATGTATAAAGATGTGTTACATGTGTGCAGTTTATGGTCAAAATATATATCATGTACACATTTTCGGTGGCCACAAAATGGAATTGATGCAAATAACATTCTCACCACTAGGTACTTGGCGCACGAGTTGCGGTTTCCTAAGTCACCGGTGTGACCCGGTAAAGTAAATAATAGATGATAGACATTACAAGTACATGCAATGAAAAAATATGCATAAATATTAATAATATATAGCCATAGTGAGAAATATGATTTGACCTACTACCTGTCATTGACTAATTGTAGTCTCTGTTGTTTACAGAAAAATTGAGGGCACACATTTTTTTGAAGAAGTATTTATTTATTTTTCAAAAAAAAAATCATTATAAATATAAACATTGTTATAATTTCAATATTTATTTCATTATTTAATCTCAATAAACGATTCGAAAATTTCGAATAATTATGTGGACGGATTTGTTGCTAAAATCACAATATAAAATAGGTGCTTAATTCAGTAAAATCTCAGAATTCGTGCGACAAAATGGACAATAGCCCTTTTGCAAAACCTGTAGTTCAAAGTCTTCAGAGTGAAATACCTGAAAAAAAAATGATTTCGAAACATCCAATGAAACTTCAGTTCGATGAAAATATAATCCGGTGGAAAGATTTGGAACACACATCACCTGTAAACATTCAGGACACATGCTAATTTGCCATTCAGGCATTAAATTTCTATAATATCTCGTTTTAAGTGGTGGGGGCCATTTCGCAATCAGTACAGTTGTTGGATCCAATGCGCGCAATGCATCACGATCCAATGTTAAGGGTAAAATATCTGATACTTCTTCATTGATCATTGTATCAACAAATGGATCTAATGATTCCGTATTTGTCTTTGGCGGTGCTAATAAGAGTCGCTCAACTTCTTGATCTGGAATATCGTCTTCATGACTGAATTCCACCAGCGGTAAGATTTCTGTGTAAAAAACAAGACAATTATTTGTAGAAAAAGTAATCAACTTCGTTCGAAAACGATATTCGTGGGCTTTTGAACTAACAAAAAAAAAGTTAAAAGGCTACAAAAATTTGATTTGAATAGTATAATGATATGAAATGATTACCAAATGAAACAAAAGAGAAAATGTAAGGATGTTGACACGACGGACACTGATTTCCACGCAGATGTGAGTTATAGTTTGAGCATTTGTAACACATTGGCAAGGAGTCTTCGGGATCGTTGAATCCACCTGGGCACGCTCGACTTGCAATGTAATTGATCTAAAAAAAATTGGCGTTTTTCAATGATTTCACATACAATGGAATGATTCTATTACGTATATACTTACATCGACTTGTTCTTGTAAAGCAGTTGGAACGCGTAACTTTTGAATGCGATTATTGACTTGTAAATTCAATTTCTTGTAGTTTAACTCTTTGGCTTGTTTAGCCAATGTGTACAAGACAGCACTGTGAATATTAATGAACGGTTAATAGTCGTACAAATTCGTATCTAGGATTAGGAATATATCATTTAATTACTTACAACATACTAATTCCTTTCGGTGGTAGTCCATTATCAGCGCCAATTTGATTGGCCACAAATCGGCTCGAATTGAACAGCGCTGGCGCTGAGTAGCTCGTAAATGGTTCCGACAAATAGTTGTGAATCGTTGCATATGCATAGTAAATCGTTGAAAGTCGATGTAAACATTCAAATTTCACTAATGCTTCATTTGATATTGGTTCATCTTTTGGCAATGATTTAAGAAATTGTCTGGCACGAAGCCACATGTAATAGCTTGCATCCAGAAATCGATTTTCGGAAATCGAACAATCGGTTAAGCTATTTAACAGTTTGATTGCTTCATTTGGTTGACCAGCAAGAATGTAGGCCTCGTGCGCTTTAACAAATTCATCCGATTCGGCCAACCATTGTGCATGCTGACTATGCACTGATTGTAGTACTTGTGGTAAATTCTCTGCCAAACGAAATGCTTCGGTCCAGTCACGTGATTCAACATGCAATTGAACAACCTGTGCTTCTTCACCAAGTTTTCTATAGATTTCAGCTGCCAACGGCAAGGATTGTAGTTTTCTCAAATTCGTTGCTACCAAATTCAATGCGATTCGATCGCTTTGGCTCAATCGACGACCAATGTCATACAGTCTGCAATTCGATAAAAAATAATTATCAAATGATGTAAAATTTATGAAAAATAGTTAATTAATAAACATACACATCAGCCCATCCTTGTTCAGTGACAATTTCAATGGCTCGTTCATGTTCGCCGGCACTTAATAACAATTCAGCTGCAGCTCTTGGTTCATGAACAGAACATGCCCATTCGGCACGTTTACGAACCAATTCTCTGCGATCGGATGAATCACCTTCTTTCAAAAATTCTTGCGCCAAATCAAACATTCGCAAATCTGTGTACATTGCCAATGCCTTATTGCTATAGCCATTCTTCTGATACAATCTGGCGGCTTCCTTGAATTTACCAGCAAATGCCAAGTTTTCCGCTTGTAAAATTTCTTTTGGCACATCGCCACGCTTTTGACGCTCTTTGATTTCGTTTATATGCTGGAGCCATGGTAAATTTCGAACACGAACATATGCATTCTTAGCTACGGTTAATTGAAGGGCATCAACGGCTGCTTGCGCCAATCCCTCCCAATCTGATGACGAAACACCCAAACATGCAACCTGATATGCTTCTCTATTATTTGTTTTTTTTTAATAGAAAACACATGAAATTAGCATATGCGGGCATTGTATTGAGCATACATTAGGTTTGAGCTATGGATATAGCGGCTGATATTTCATAGCCGCTATTTAACTCGTTTTAATGCGTTTAAGCATTTTGTGCGTTATTTTCTACATCTCTCTCGTACATACTCAAATGTACAAAAGAATAGTAGGCTATGATATTCCTACTCGGTGTTACACACAGCACACGAATTAAATGGCGCCTATGAAATAGCAGCCGCTATATGCATAGCTCGAGCCTAATGTCTGGTATTGAGATATTTTCTGCCAATTGAGCTGCACTTTTTTATGAGAATAAAAGAGTGGGGACACATCAGCCAAATATCAGTTCAATTATGTGGTTTGATATCTCAGTACAATCCCGTTCGCAGTCAAATCTTACTCAAAAAGGCCGGCTTCAATAAACTGCCACATAGTTGATCCCAATGACAATGAAACGTTATTCATCATATTACCGCGAAGGCAAAATGCTGTGGCACCACACAAACCAACGACAACGCCAAGCATTGTCTGTGGGCTTCGAGGGGGCAATGTACCAACACGAACACTTATACCACCGGTTGTATGAGAATAACACAGCATCGATTCTAAATTTGTATTCCATGACACGGAATTAACTCCACTATCCTGAAAGCAGAAAAAAATGGCACCAATTGTAAATGATGAATATATGATGGTATTTGAGTGTTTGGTCTTACCTGATACAACATATTATCATTGATCAAATCACGTACAATCAATCGGCCAGCATCGTCGACCACAGCCAATTTGGTACGCGTTGAATTTAAATCCAAGCATCGAACCGACGATAGAACCGTTGTAATTAACATTGGCAACGAATTGTCCAAGAAAATGCGCCACACTTGGCCATTCTTCAAGCCCAAAAATAGTCCTTCACGGCCAGGTGGGCCACCGGTTACTTTAATATAACGAATAAAACTATCCAAAACCCATTCGCGTTGCATTACACCCGAAAAATCTAAGCTTTGCAATTTTTTCTCTTGACACAAGACGAGATGTTGTGAGCACACAACGAGCAAACTGCATTCAAATTTTTTGCCAATTTTCTCCTTCACCTTATAATGCATTGGCTGATTTTCAGCCGAACTTAGTTCGTATAAAACAACACGTTCGGGCAATTGAACAGCCAACCGATTTCGATAAATTGCAATTTTATTCACCAAATCTCGACATTTTATGCGCACTTTTTGACCCGATACCAAATGCTGAATTATTATATCGCACATATTCTCACGGAATGCATATCGTTCACGGTATAGTGCATGAACCGTATTAAAGGCGAGATTGTAACAGGCGAGAGTACCATCTTGACAACCAACCACCTAAAAGCGAATGGAAAAACGAAAAATAAAACATTGAAATATCTTTCTCTATCTTGTTTAAATTCATATTTGGCTCATTATTTTATGTCAAAACAATCTATACCAACCATTGATGATCCAAATGGATGAATGGCCGTTGTCCAAATCCATGATTCATGAACTTCACCTAACATTCCAAGTCGAATGCCATCTTTGGTAAATAATTGTACGGCTTTATTGCATCCAGCCACCGTAATGAATTCACCATCCGGAAAATAGCTGAGATTCAATGGATCAAAACCAAGTGCACGTTGTCCTTTGCCAACACTCTGTCCGCCAAGTGTATAAAATGAAATTGTTTGATTCCAATCGGCAATACATAGAATGTCTATATTTCCAGCGCTTATTGGATCAAATGAAATGCCATAGATTGGACTATTTGTGCCACCAGGTCGTTCGATTTTTCCCTTTTCATCGCCCGCCTAAATGAAAATTTATGAATCAATTAAATAGCACACAGACATTCATTTCATTACCAATATTCACCTTATTTCGAATGGAAACCGTGCCATTTGCCATTCCCAATGCCAGATAATGTCCATCATTTGTCCATGCACAACAATTTATTCGCGATGTAACTTTGAATTTTTGTACGGCCTTTTGTTCGGTCGACCAAAATGCAAAGTCCGATTGTGTACAAGATACCAATTGATGTGACACTGGATTGAATGCCAAACACTGAACCGAATCGCTATGACTAATGAACACAAATCAGTAAGCAACAATGAAAATTTCAAAAATTCTCTACAATTCAAGCTCATTCAAACTCACGAGTATTTTAGTATGCCATCGAGTTTGATGGACCAAACGATGACACATTTATCGGAACCACCGGATGCAAATTTTTTGCCATCATGTGCATATGCTACAGCATAAACTGTATCTTTGTGTCCAGTCAACGTTTCGATAAGAGTGCCTTCATTTGGTTCATAGACCAAAACTTTATCACATGCAGCAACGATCAGTTGAATACCCTCTGGATGAAAGCAAATTGAATGAATTCTACATTAAAATGATGAAGAAACAAAATTGAACGAATAAAAAATAAATTCATTCGACATTTATATCATAGCGAAAGAGACAGATGTGTGATATACGTACCCGGCTTGCTCTTTATCTTCACCTTCCTGGCCAATCTTCTCCACCCATTTTGGAATAGCACGCATTTCTTCGATCTCAAGTGAAAATTACAAATACGATACACAACTATAAACGATTTGTCTTAATTTCCCGCGGAAATGAATCACTTGCTTTCGCTGAAAATTGTCTACGACATCGATTTTAAATGTAAAATGTAACTTAAATCGGTCAGTGCATGTTTAATTTGGCGTTCTATTTTTGTTTTTATTGCAAAGCGACAAATGATAAAACGATAAATTTTTACTATGAAACTGGATCGTTCATTCTAGATTTGATCGAGTTATTGTTTACATTGAAATACGATTAAAAAGTTGCTATAGTAACACGACACAGAAGAAAGACTGCTACGTTCCATTAATACGCTCATTTGAGTGTACAAACGTACGAACCAGTTTCACACATATTCAACAGTGATATTACCAGCAAATTCAACGTCTCGTTTGGTATGATGTGCGAGTATTTCATTTACACATACATTTATAGGTTGTAGAAGCCGCTTACACAGATACACACAAACACACGAGGCCATTTGCACAGAACCTCATTGTCGTCGCATCGAATCGAATTTTACACGCAGCGACGTTAGCCAGCTAGTAAGCTTCCCGTATTCTTTCAAGGAACACATCATTTGCTGTTGTTATTCAGCGCTACCGTTTTTTTTTTCATTTTCTTATTTCCATACAATTTTGTTTATCGCTCCGTAGAAGGAAACAAAACCGAAATAAACGAAGAAGACGAAGTCAAAATTGATTTCCAGATGCACACATACTCTGTATAATTTGCTATTCTTTGGTAGGTTCCTCAAAATATTCATTACATTCACATTGTTGCTTGTAAGAAAACTGTGTCGATAATTTGTTTATATAGTTTTGTTTTCCATTGAATAAATCGAATACATCAAGACTTTTAATCAGAATGTAGAATGGAATTTTAATTTAACAATTTCGTCGACATTGACGTCGTTATTCATAATAAGAAAAGCGAAGAAAGCAAGATGAAAATGCTGACATTTTTTACCGCGAACACCATATGTAAACATTGAGAAAATATAGTATATTTGTATCATTGGATCATTAATGGGTGCAGAGAAAGAGAAAAAGAAAGAGAACAGAAGTGTTGAGTAGCCATACTTTTTGGGGAGCTGTGTACATGTTGCTGTTCAAAGTGCCGCTAATTTCTATGTATTTGTGCTGCGAAATGTTTTTTTTTTTTTAATTTACTAAATGAAGAAAAGGTAGTTTTTTTTCTACTTGTTTCGATTCAGAGAACAAAATGATAATGCAAACATTTAGTTGAAAATGAGTATGTGCCTTATAGTTTTTCCGTCAAAGTTTGTCGCTGTTGAGCGCTGTGAAATGAACGAATTTTGTATTTTGGCTCAAATGGATCGGGAAAATGTGCATTGGATTGCATTTGGTATAACATTTTTAGTCTTGTCTGTAGTATGAAATTTTTTAAATATAGTATTCGAAATGAAGACGATGAGCTGCGGCATCGTTGCCGAACATACTTACACACAGCCACCGTCATACTAATACAAACGTATGGTGCGCGCTCGTGAAGCCGCTTTCATCTGTATTGGAAGCAGATTGACAACCTGCCGGAAGTACGATGTGGAGATAGAGTGATTTTTTTTGTATAGCATTGCTAGAACGAGGCTTCGCAAAGACCTATCAATACAAACACATGCACGTACACGTATACACATACGAACATTTCTGTATATATCAGCACAATAACATACATGGCCATCGTTCACACATGCACACAGACAATTCATCTACGTTATAACCGACGGCAACTAGAGCTCAGTTCGATTTACTCACTGCGGACATTCATGTACACTAATTACCGAAACACATTTAAGAAAATCGGTTAACGCACCACACAACCCGATTTTCACATTCAAAAACTCAACAGCGTGATAATACATTCAGTGCTCTTGCATTGAACAAGAAACGGCTATATCGAGATATATAAAACAGCAGCAAAAACGGCCCCGAACATTTTAAACATACCAAGAAAAATCTTTGTAAGATATTTGACCGTTTGCATTGGCAAATCATTACCATTAAGTTTAGTAGCTAAGATCATCATTTTTTGGATTGGACGAATGACAGAGGTCATTCAAAAAAAAGAGACTTTACGAGAAGAAAAACGATAGAGAGCAACATAGAAAAGAAACAGAAAAAAATCTTCTTTTTTTTGAAAATTATCGAGTGTGCTTTGAGTGTGTAAGCAATATAGTATCGACGTTGTTGCTTGTGAGTGTGTGCGTCAGAGCGTTCCGTTCCGTACCATATGCGTGTGTGTGTGTGTGTGTGTGTGTGTATTTGCCACTTAATCGTATTTTGCTCTTTCACTGTGTTTGTGTATGTGTGTATATGCGTGTGTATGTATGTCTCTGTTTATGGTTGTGTATGTTGCTAATATTGTGTAGAGCGCATATATATTACTTAATGATGTTGATGTCTTCGAATCTCGATTCGGTTCAACTTGGTTTTCGTGCATGTGTTTTAGTGCTGTCGTTTTGCGTGTGTGCGCCATATTCCAAATTCTATGCGGTTGTTTCATTTCGGTCATTCCTTTTTGATTATAAAAACTTCGTACAGGAGGCGACTCACGCACGTTCCGCCATGTTTTTGCAGTTCATTTCAGTGATCCGAACTAAATAGATTTATTTCAAATTGAAAGTAACAAAATTAGGCGCGTTCAAAACAAACGCGTAAACATTTCAACAAATATGAAAAAAACAGCACAACCCGTTATGAAAAAGGTTCGATTACAATTGGCCCGTGGCATTTTTTTAGCAATTACGTATTAAAATATTGATTATGTGAAAAATTATGGTGGATATATTTTTTGATAGTTTCATACGGTTCATTTTTCCATTACGTTTTTTTTTTGTTCGTTCATAATGTGACGCCTTAGCTTGACGGCTGCGACTACAAACGAAAAATACACACACCCATGCACATATTTTCTACATCGATATAAGCAAAAGTGTTTTTTCTTTATTAGTGTGTGTGTGTGTGTGTGTGTGCGTGCGATTGTGTGCGTTTGCTGTATTTAAGCCGCATTTTTTTCAATTTTGTTCTTCCTAACCAAACCAGAATATTGTGAATCGTGTTGTTTCGATTTATTTAGTCATTGTTTTCATTCGTTTTGTTTTCCAACATTTTACACGAATCCCATTGTTATTTAGTTTAAATTATAAACCAAAACATAAAAGTAATTTGACATCGATAAACTTTACCGTTGAGGTGGTGTGTGCGTAGCCTTTTCACTGTTATTTCAATTTGAAATCGGTTTCCTTTTGCAAAATCGAATTTATCTTTAAATTTGTTGTTCACTTGGCCTAAATAGTGGTAATTGAGAGTGATGTGTATGCATATGCGTGTGTGTGCTTCAGGCAAAAAAAAGGCCCAGGACGTTTGAAGTGAAATTGAAAATTAGCCGACCGATACGCAGCATCTATAGTTTATTCTGTTATTTTCATATAATATCGAATCTCTTTTTCTTTTGCAGGTTTATGCTCAGCCGTCATACGCACAGGACATTCAAATGAATGCCGTAAGAAAGATAAACAGTTTATTATCGAGTGGAACAGTCAGCGTGACTGGTCCATCACAAAATCGGACAATGAAGCAACAGCCAGCGCAACCAAAAACAGTATTTGTACAGAAAGGTGAATGCTATGTCTGTGACGAACACATCGGCATCAATGGTACCCTCGTCACAGAAGCCTTTACATCTGTATCAAATACAAAGATCCCAACAAAAATTGGCCGAATCGTTGGCGATGCATTCATGGTTATCGTCAGTATGGACGATGTGATTTGCAAACGTTGTTTGACCATGTTCAATCAAATGGATCGGCTGGAAACTGATTTGGATCGTGTCAAAAGCAATATTTTGACATTAATTAATAAGAAATATGGTATAAATGACAACGGAAATACTGGTGCAAGCAGCACAAATGTTGTTGACATTAAACCGCCCCCTGCCAAAGTACAGAGGCTTAATACAAGTGCTGGTACGATTAACGCAAACTATACAAATCGAAAGACGAGCAACGGCGGCGAAGCCGATGATGAAACACGAAAAATAACAACGGTACCATTGCTACAGCCAATTCAAACAACAACACAGACAGTTAATCAATTTGCCGGTGGTCAACGTGTAGTGAATGTTAGTGGCAGTGGTGATTCTATTGATGGTCAAATAACCACAATTTATGAAACATCGCCACAAAATAGTTTCGGTCAAACACAATTGGTGCGACAAGTAAGTGTCACATTCCTCATATTTTTCGTTGTTGCTTTATTCGATTTGTGCTTTGATCTCTTTTATTTTTGGGGTTTTGTTCGAGAATGAAATGTGAACGGTTCGTGGCAGCTGTTCAAAAACTCATTTTCGATTCACATCTTAAAATTACAATGAGATTCATTTGGGCCGGTAGATAAATTTGTGGCACTTGTTCCTTTGGTATCTCACACAAACTCAAGCACATATATCTTTTATGTGTATTTATATGCAGATTTATTTTCTCGATGCACTTTTGATGAAACAAATTCAACAAACGATTTTTTAAAAAAACAAAACATATGATTTTTTGGGATTTATTTATTTTTCAGCAACAACCAACAACCACACAACGGAAACCGATCAAGATTTACAAATGCATGTCATGCGACTTTAAAACAACAGATATCAAACTATTCCAGCCTCATTATGATACATGTCGACAACAAAATGGTTATCGTTGCAAACTTTGCAAAAAGATCTTCACTAGTGTGAGCGCCCTGAAGGCACACAATGTCGAAAAGCACGCAAGTGAGTTTACATGCAGTATATGCAACATAAATTACATGAATGAGAACACATACAAGAAGCATATGGAAACTAATCACCCGGACATTAAAACGATCGAATCATCGACAACGGTGACCAGTAGTGGTAAGTGATTGACCATTTATTCTGTTATTTTGCTAAAAATAAAACAAATAAAAATCATTAATTAAATAAATGACAAAAAAACGACAAAATTAGATATACCTATGAAACTTATAAATATGTTTACCGTTTTATTTGGTTCAATGTGTCTGGCAGGTCAACAACTCTATTCGTGCAACGTTTGTCCATTCAAAACATACGAAAAAGCCACATTTGATGCGCATTCTCGAAAACATGTCAAGGTAAAGCCGTTCAAATGCCGCATTTGTTCAGCGCGCTTTGAAACCAGAGAACTAGCCGGCGTTCATGCAAAGACTCATTGTCCTGACTTTTTCAAATGCGGAACATGTTCAATGACATTCACACAAAAGGTATGTATGCACAAACACAAAAAAAACAACACTTTTACAAAGTAAAATCGCCATCTTGTCTGTCATCATAAAATGTGTTGACAGTTTCTTTTTCTTTCAATTTCAATGTATGAATAAATATAATAATTGGAATATGTGTTTTTTTGGTCTTATTATTACAGGAATTACTTGTAAAACATTTCGAAACACATAAGACATCGCAACAAGTCGCCCAAAAACAACAGATCGTATCACAGATTCAAACGTCGACACAATTGACGCAACCAATTGCCGTGTCACAAGATCTCACCACTCAAAAATTGTTGCAAGATACCATCGATGAAGCATTAAGAGAGACTGGAGACTCTGGCCCAAAAATTAATTTCTATTCGTGTCACATTTGTTCGCTTACCTTCATCCAGGAGACTTATTACAAACAACACATGGAGACCCATAAACGTGAAAGTAATAAAAAAGTTGGCACCCAAGCCGTTGCCGTTACAACATCAACCGTATCGAATACACATAGTCTTATACGAACCGATCAACGTGTGACAAACACACCGACCACCATCATTGCAACACAACCAAACACATCTATATCCGATAATGATTTAGAAATTATGTTCGAAAAAATGCATTCAGACAAAGCGGAGATTGAAGGTAATGCGAATAACACCGATGGTGTTGTGATAACAAGCCACGAAAGTTCAACCGGTGGCTACACATTCAATATCACCATGGCCAATCAACAAGATGCTACATCCAACAATGTCGACGTAGAAAATGTAAGCATTTGGTTCAATTCTTTTTTTATCCAAACGAACAAAAAGTAGAAAAAGAAAGAAACCTAATCTTAATTTTATATGGTATCATTTAGAAAAATAAACAAGACGGAAATGAGAGTTTGGCACCAGTCGCAATAGATATGCCACAATTAGATCAAAGCGATGATCAACAGCAACAGCCTGCCGATCAAGAACAACAAACAAATTCAGAACAACAACAACACCAAGAACATTTGGAAAATGAACAGGTATGCGCTCACGAGCACTTAATTTATTATAAATTATTGTGTTATTTGAATAATTTAAATATTATAGAAACTTGCACAGGGTGTTGCGGTTAGTATGCCAAGTTTAGATGATGATGCGGATGGTAGTCAACCATCGAGTAGTGATCAGGTGCCGATGGATTTGGAAGATATTCAAAATGCGGCCGAAAGTGGTCAAATTAAATTTATATTGAATGAAAATGGTCAATTGTTGCAATTGGATAATCACATTCTCACCACCGATGCAGAAGGTAACCAGATATTGGTGCAAGGCAGTGAACAAATTCAACAGCTATTGCAAAGTGTTGGCGTTTTACAAGCCGATGGTGATGGCACTGAGCAAACCTTTCAAATGATTCAAGGTGAAAATAATCAAATGATTTTGGTGCAAGGCGATAACAATGAGGCACAATTAATCGATGCGTCAATGTTAAACGAAGATGGCCAATTAGTTATTCAACATCATGGTGATCAATTGCCAGAGGGCATGCATGTAGTTAACGAAGATGGTGTGCAGGTGCCGGTTTCGATAGCATTTGCACAGCATTTAGAATCGGCCGCTGCACAGCATTTAGAATCGGCTCAACATATGGAATCGGCCCAACACCAAGAGGGTGAAAATGAAATTGAACAAAAGCCCGAAATTCAAGACCAGCAACACACCGAAGAGGTCGAAGCCGAACAAGCGGTCACCATTAAATCAGAAGACACGTCATCACAAGATGGCGAACAACAAGCGGCCAACGAGGCCGATGCAGGTGAATGGCAATGAGACAATTAGGTTAATGCACTTACTTACTTAATATCATTTTAAAAAAAACTCATTGAAGTAATTTGGTTGACATTTGAATCATATACATAAGAAAAAATTAGATCAGATGACATTTGGGAATGAATGAAAAATAACAGATAAAATCGCTTTTAACCAAATCCCTTCAATCCATTCAATACGGCTGAACCATTTTCATTGAACGACATTTTATATTTGAATTTGTTCAGGTATCACTACGGTTACAACATCGACGAGAGCACCAGTGTCATCAACAACGGGCGAAGTATATTTCAGTTTAGATGAAATTATGAATCAATCAGAACAAAAGGTAAGCGATACAGAGATCATTTTGAAACGCTCTTCAAAAATATGATAAAACATTTTTACGTTGTTCTATTTCAGTAATCGACACACAAATGATGCACTGACCTGCCCCTCCCAATTTAAGCTTTCGACTTTTAAGTAGCTGTTAGTATTATTTTTTATCAAATTTTAAATAAACTCGTCGTTGCAAAATCAACTAAAACCATACTAAATAAACAATTTAGTGGATAAAATTACAAAAAAGAGACGAGCAATTATGTTTTGGTTATTAAAATCAAAATGAACGTTAAGTGAGAAACAAAACACACACACACATACACACATTTTAATCAGCTGAAGTTCAATTGTATTGAAATAAATTTGATGCCCATACAGATTACTGTTAACCAAGGAATGTATGTTCTTGGGAATCAGTGATTATTTTTCGATAAGAAAATACAAAAGAAAAAAAGAGAAGAAAAAAAACAAATGGGAGAATATTGAGAAATGAATATATACATACTCTATATATGTATTCAATAGGATTCAAAATCAATGGTCCAATGCGCTGTTCTTTTTGCATTGGTTCATTTTCTTTATATTTAATGTATTGTCATGAATGCAAAAAAGAAAAAAAAAAAGAAAAGATGATTAAACTAGTAGAAAAAAACGAAAAATACAAAAAAAAATCTTTAAAACATACAATAATTATCAAGCATAAACCTACATGTTATATTTTTAATTGGAGAGGAACATAACAAAACGAAGATAGACAGTAGAAGGGAAAAAGTTTAGGAGCGAATTATGATAAAACGCAAAAACTTGAAACAAACAAACAAAATACACACATGTACACACATAAAAAAGCGCGCGCCGCCATCGTGCAAATAGACAAGCCCAAAATCTAGAACGATACAGAAAACCAACAAAAAAACATTTAAATAATTAGACATAGTATATAGCATAAAGAGAAATTGAAAAAAAAAACCACCAGAGAAAAGGATATACTGTTAAAGTGTATAATTTTGGTTAATGAACTAACACACATACACACATACAAATGGCAAATGAATCGGCTGAATAACCAAAATATGATAATTTCAAGCGATGCAATGAAACAAATGCGGCAACAGCAGCATAAATCAGCAAATGTAAATGAAAGGGCCAAACCGAATGCAATTTACTTCTCTCATTGCGCTATTTTACATCCAAACACACTCATGCACACAAAAAAAAACACACACACATAAAACCCTCATCTCGGTCATCTTCAAATCGGAACCAATCAGAACGATTAAGCCAAAACATTTAAATCCATTTTCATTTTTATTTGCTTTATTTGTTTATTTAAAAAAATTACTTTCAACATCGCGATCCAACACAACACATGAACAAATAAAAAGAAGAAATCCGCTATTAATTTATATGATTAAAAAAATATATATGCAAAATGAAGAAAAAAAAATACACACACATACACACTGCATACTGAGAGAGAAAGATAGAAAAAGAGTTGAAAATGATTTTTTTTTTTAAATTTATGATTGAAATAAGTAAATTTATGTTTAAGTCAGAAAACAAAATGATGCTGATGAGGAAGAAGAGAAGATGATGATGAAACATTGAAGTGAGTTAGAGTTTAAACAAAGTTATTTTGTTAGCAAAGATGAAAAAAATAAGAATAAACGTATATATACAACCATTATTGTGTATTGTATGGATGAGTCCAAGCAAAATGGAGCGTAATCATAAAAAGAGAAAAAAAAATAACGATTCAAAGCCTGCGGAAAAAAGAAAGCTAAAAAAATTATTAACAAAACAATATTGATAATTATGAATGGAAGAGAATCTAGCGTTTAGTTTACATTTAAAAAAAAAGAAGGAAAAATGTAATCGACAGATTTTTAATAATATTTTAGTTTATTAATAAACAAAAAAATGATATACAAAATAAAAATAAAGCAACAAAAAACAATGGTATAGTTATTGTTTTCATTTTGGATTTTGTTTAAGTGAAAAATAACGTCAAACGCATGATGAATGGGAATAAACACGTTTTTTGAACGGAACACTTTTTTCAGCCAGCTATATAGTCACATGTCAATATTGATTCAATTTGATTTATGAATTATTCAGCGATTTACTGGGATAAAAGAAACGAATTGCATCAGGCTTTCTGTTACTCTACACAATGAACACAGTTCATTGAACTATTAAATTTGTTGATATTAGCTATTATTTTCTCAATTTGTAGAAATTTCTGATTTTTATACAATTCTCTTTTGCGGAGTCGAATGTATAAAACATTGGCTGACTAGATGGCCGGCCAATTTTGGACGATTTGACTGTGTATATGTAAATTTTTCGACAAAATAAAACGTTTGTAGTCGATTGTTCCCAAATAGCCTACTGTGACGATTTAAACATTTCTATGAATGCCGCAATCAATTTTGATAAAGTTGATTGAGCTGATTGATCAGCCCAGCTGACACGAATTCGCCAGCTTATTGGTATATTTCAATTTTGTAACAAGAACCATTTGTTCCTTCAACGTGGTAGAGTTCTATTTTTGGTATTTTAGATGTCTATATCAGTGACCGGTTCGCGCATATTTCTATGCTTGCCTAAATACGCTAGGTAGCATAGATATGCCAAGCATAGCCGCAAACGCAACCGACGCATCGCCGTTCACTCTATATGAACAATACACATGTTCGTTTATGCAGACGACCGTGCGCATACAATATAGCTCGAATCGAATGGCGACGGGTGCGTTGCGGCTTACGTCTCCGCTATGCTTAGCATAGCTATCAGGCATAGAAATATGCGCGAACCGGTCACTGGTCTATATTTGCCGTACGCTACGGCCCGTAGCACGTTGAAAGAGCAAATTGTTGTTGTCACAAAATCGAAATGTGGCTGGCTAATTCGTGTCAGCTGGGCTCAATATATTTTCTGATTTTCATCAAATATAGTCGAATTAATTCATATATGCTTGAGCATTTTTGGAATTTTAAATTTCTATACTGAAACACTTGGTAATTGTTGAAAAAATACATCAGCAACTATTTTGCTATTCACTACAGCATCATGTAAGTTGGTCCTATCATGAAGAGAAAAGCAATCTTAGAAGTTTTATGGGTCATTATGAATGAGTGGAAACTAAACTTAAATATTCCCTTTCAATTGAAATCTCACTATTTCCTCTTAAAAATATATTTTAAACATATTCTCTTTTTTTGTATTTTTCCGTGAATGGAAATTTCTTTCGTTTCTAATGTTATGAATAATAAAGTAAAGATAATCACGTGATGTTTTCTCATGTAAAAAATAATAGATCGACTTGGTGTCAGGAAATATCATAGTCAATCTTGAAGACATTTTTAGTCAGATGATAATTTTACGTTCTTCACTTATATCAACGAGAAATAAAATAAAAACGAATAAAAGAAAATATAATATTTAAACATATTCCGGCTCCGATATGCATTGCATGAGACATAGATACGTATTGATTTTGTTAGATGGCACCTGTGATGCACCACTGTAGTATTTTGTACATTTGTGCAAATGAAGTTCATTGTCAACTGTCAAAAATTATGTGCATTGTTTACTAGTCGAAAAAACATTTTTTTTTGTGTTAGAATATATATATTTTTTTACACATTCAGTTTGGGATTTAACGTGTAAATGCTACTATGTGAAAATATTTGGAAATCACACGGAACATTTCCGCCGAATTATAAGTCAAATGTAAATTAATTGCATTTATTTTCATGTACACATTTTATTTGATCGATTGAGATAGATGAATGAATATAAAATTGTTGAAATAAATTCTGAATTTATGACATAAATTATGAACTGTGTAAGATTACGATTTCGGATTGATTATGTCATTGGTGAAATTTATTATCAGTATATATGAATAAAGTTTGTGTGTGCAATAAAATGGCTATTGAAAAATCTTTTCGAAAAAATGAGCTCAAAATATCATTTGGTTAATCAGTTCGGTTAAAATCGTTTTCAATTTAACAAATGCAGATGATACATTTTCCAGTGTAGCTTATCTTCTAATTTTATCAATCTCTTCCGACAATGAATTTCCTTTCTGCCAATGACCAGTTGATGTGACAATAGAATTCGACTGGAACGGCTACATTTATTTTTCGTTTAAAAATTAGAAGCAAAACTAAAACCAATTCAATGTGCCAGACATTTAGTTCCGTTAGATAAGCAGTAGTGAAACGGTTGTAATATGATAAAAAAACGTATTTAATTGTGAGTATGAGTTATATGTGGAAGACCCTTGATTATCCTCATCATATTGCATTTGGCGAGAATAAAATGTTGGAACAAATCAACATATGGCACTTGAACGAGCTTCCCTTGCAAGATGCATTTCAATTAAAACATTCAACTAAACATATAGCACGCAAAAATTATTCATAAAAAATGTGTGCGAGAGAGAGAAAAAAGTGTGTATACTATAGCATACGTACTTCGGACGAGAGATATGAAACAAAAATGTGTGTAGTGTGAAAGAGTGCACGCATACACGTTTCCCATTTCAACACACATGTTCTGATTGAAGCTAGTTGAAAAACAGAAGCATTTATGCGCAAAGCCATACCAACAACAACAACAACAACAACACCAATGTAAAAAGAAGCATTGAGCGTTTGCGAATAGAGAAGAATATACGTAAATAGAACACAGAGAGCCGCCGCCGCCGACGACGACGACGACAGCAAGAGCTACGCTAACAAAGAGAACAATCCAATACATGCATGTATATCCGTTCTTGCTATTTCTTCATACATATAAAAAAAAAACTACAAACATCAAAAGCAAAACTCATTCGGCACAGCGTTATAGTGTTCATTTACATTTTAGCAGCCAAGCGGCTAGTTTTGTGGAAGCATTTTTTGTTATTGTTGATTTCATTTTTTTTGATTTCACTTCATTTCGTTGGCATTGTAAAAAGTTTAATTTTTTGCATTTATTTGATTTTTTTTTCTTCGTTGCGGTTCGGCATATTTCTTTCATACTTTCGGCGAGATTGTGCACGTGAGTGTTGCTTTGGTGAAAATACTTGTCTCTAATATTCACTGTAAATCAATAATGAAAATTTGTTTAGTAAAACGATTGCATTGATAGTAGGCTAAGAAAGTAAACTATGCATTGGTTTTGGTTTAACCACAAATTATACATTTCTTGGAATAGTTGGAGGACGGTCGTGACTCAGATCACATAATTAATATGCAGTCGTTGAGCGGTCATCAACTTAATATTATCAAAGAGTGAAACCAAACGATTAGAAAGAGTGGTCAACGATAATAGCGGCTGTCTTTGCTCGTTCTCGGGTGATTAGCCAAGACTTCTTGTGAAAACTGAAGACAATTAGTGTCAATGATTCTTGCAAAACCTGACAAACAACTCGAATTCCTTTTTTTTTATTTCGTAGTCCCTTTTTTATTGTTGTAACCATCGTCATCGATGAAATAAATCTTTGGAGTTACAGTATGCGGTCTACACTATATTGCTATTTGCCATTTAAAAATGAGCTCATAAAGTATAAGGCAAATTGGAAAAGAGTCGACACAAATACATGGGCAATGAGTGTGTTTCCATGGCTATTTTTGCGGATTTGTTTTTGTTTATCGAGTACAGTGAATGAATATTATTGTTGAAAACTATGTTGTGTCTTGCAAATGTTGATTTAAATCATGAACAATAGAGAGAATGCTTGGGGGTAGACATCTATGAATTTAAATTTAATTTTGCGTTTACTACGATTTTGGCGATTCATGTGATTTCTGCTCTGCAACTTCGAAATTCTCAACACCGCAATGATTAAATTTAAAATATTTTTGACAAATATCTGCAATATAGATATTTGATAAACTGTTAATTTGAATCAAATTATTCAATAATAATTTATGTTTTATGTCGTTATGAGTCGATTATGTTTGGAGTCACTATATATAGAGCATAGGCAATTGTATTCAATTTTGAAAATATTCACATTTGAAATTGACAGGAGAATCGTGAATTTTATGAGATTTAAATACCACGATTTCTATGATTTTTAAGAATTCAAAATTCACATGTCCATCCCCCGGAGAGCATGTAACTAATTCAGTATAGAATATATTGGATGTGACATTCGGTCGTGCCTATTATTTAGTTTACATGACATTTACTGCAAGCACGACCCATACCCATTATTCGTTCTGGTAATTAATCAATTCTCATGTTGTTTGTTTCTCTTCAGGTTGTTTTAATGGAATTTAAATCGTAACGGCCAATTGACAACGAGCTAAATTGTAAAACAATATACTGATAAGGCACACATAGCGGTGCAAAGAGAGAAGCAAACAAAACAAAAATAAATCATTGAACAGCGAATTGCGAAGGCACGAGTTCATGCAAATAGTGTGATACAATCAGAATGGTAATTTCAAAAATTTGTTGCATTGGCGCTGGATACGTTGGCGGTCCAACATGCAGTGTTATCGCATTGAAATGCCCGAACATTCGAGTAACAGTTGTCGATCTTAGTGTCGAACGTATATCTCAATGGAATTCAGATAGATTGCCCATTTACGAGGTGAGTAACTTTTCAAAGCTCTCTTGACAGTCTCTTTGTAAATTAAATTGAAGTGAGTTTTTTTCTGTTAAAGTAAGTCGAGTTAAAACTTTCTTTTTGAAAATCATTTACAAATGACGCTTTCGCCATCCTGCGGTCACGTTTGTTTTTTTTCGTTTTATTCCCTTGGACTTTTCATTTGAGGCAAACTTTAAATTATCATGAAATTTCTATTTCAAATTTCAATCTGGGGTTCAATAAGACTTCAATCAATTTCAGTTGATTTAAATGAAATTGGATTACTTGAGGCGATTGATTTACGGCTAATTATAATTCCAAGTACATTTTTAACAAAACATTTCATTTAACACTGTGTTGATCGAATGCATCCGGTTTCAATTACTCGCTATCATATCAAGTTCTTTTCATTCTCATCACCAGTGAGACGAAAAAAAAAAAACAAAATACTGCGAGTGTTTATCTAAGCAAATCAGCTGAATGTAAGAGGTGCAAATATTTGATTAGAATTAGAGCCGCATAAATAATTATTTGAGTGCGTCATTTTCTTAATTGAAAAATCGGTTTCAAACTTTTTACTTGAAATTGAATTCAATACAAATAAAACCGTTGGAATTCTTCTCAATCAACTTTGGATTATATCATTTGTTAATTATTCAAAAATGACGTGTTTGAATGAATCATGAATGAATTCAATAAAATTATAGGTGGAAAGCAACTTGCATCGCATAATATGAGCCCATCCATGATTTGAAAATCAATTAACCCTCTACTGCTCCATTGATCGATTGAGATAAATACTGTATTTGTAAAATAAGCTAATTTTTCAAATGATCTTAACACCACTGTCGAAACATTTTAATCTCAAAAATACAAAATAGAAGTTTACTTTAGATTACCATTTGTAGCTGTCACAAAACCTAAGTGACAGTTTTGGAAAAAAAATGAAAAAAAAAATCATCTCTGGACGGTCTTATGGTATAGAGGGTGTTAGTATCGAAAAAGAGAAACATTTACACGCTTGTTTCTCAACAAATTTACAGTTATAAATATTTGACTAACCTATGAATATGATAATTATGTTCAGCACGTGGTTCATTATCGTTATAATCGTACGATGACTTTGATTTAGCACATCTTCTTACCGAGTGAAAAAAAAACATTCACATCATGATCGGCCTTTGAACGACACGCGACTTATATAATTTTAACATGTCTTTCATAAAGTATGTACTTCGAAATTAAACAAGTGTGTGTGTAAACATCAACAAAGAGAGATTTATTTCAAAACATCAAAAATGTTGTTGTTAAATCGGATGTTATTTTTCAATGATGTTGTAACAGGTGTATTTGAAACTGATAAAACTGAATTAATTAAACAAAAAAGTAAACAAACAAAAGAAACAATGAAAAGAGTACTTTTTATTTTAACGGCAACGTCACATAATCATCAAAATAGATGAATTGTATGAAGAAAAAAAAACGAACAAAATTTAATCACGTTTTTTTTCTCTTCTTTCTATCGATATTCTCCTCCAATTAGCCTGGTTTGTATGATGTCGTCAAAAAGTGCCGAAACAAGAATCTCTTCTTTTCAAATGATATTGAAACTGCCATTGACGAAGCTGAATTGATTTTCATATCGGTGAATACGCCAACGAAAACATTTGGCAATGGGCGCGGACGTGCTGCCGATTTGAAGTATGTCGAAAGTGCGGCCAGAATGATTGCCAAAGTGGCACGCAACAATAAAATTGTGGTTGAAAAGAGTACGGTGCCGGTAAGAGCTGCCGAAAGTATAATGCACATTTTGGGTGCAAATCAAAAAATGGGTAAGCGAATATCGAACACTTGTTCTCATTGGCAATTTACTAAATAAAATCACATTCTGAATTGCAGACGTTAAGTATGAAATCTTATCGAATCCAGAGTTTTTGGCAGAAGGCACTGCCATTGTAGATTTATTGAACGCCGATCGTATATTAATTGGTGGCGAATGTACCGAAAGTGGCATGAAGGCCATTGAAGAACTGTCGTGGGTTTATCAGCATTGGATAGCGAAAGAGAAAATTCTAACAACGAATACATGGAGTTCGGAACTCTCAAAATTGGTAAATTGTTGTGTAAATATTTTGTTAACAAACCAATAAAAAACTATATTTTTATAAAACAATAGGCGGCGAATGCATTTTTGGCACAACGAATCTCAAGCATCAACTCGTTATCGGCTGTATGTGAAGCAACTGGTGCCGATGTTACTGAGGTGGCCAAAGCCGTTGGTCTTGATTCGCGAATTGGCTCAAAATTTTTGCAAGCGTCCATTGGTTTCGGTGGAAGTTGCTTTCAAAAAGACATTCTCAATTTAGTTTATATATGCGAAGGTTTGAATTTACCTGAAGTGGCTGCGTATTGGCAACAGGTGATCGACATGAATGAATATCAAAAAATGAGATTTTCACAAAAGGTAAGTAATAATAAACAAATACACAAACGATTGGTTAAACATTTTTCTAATTGTGACATTTCAGATTATCGAGTGCTTATTCAATACGGTGTCGGATAAACGGATCACAATATTTGGTTTTGCATTTAAAAAGAATACAGGAGATACACGTGAAACGCCGGCTATAACTGTTTGTAAGACTCTATTGGAAGAAGGTGCCAAATTGAATATTTACGATCCGAAAGTTGATCATCTACAAATTCTCGAAGACTTGACGCATCCGAGTGTAACGGATAGTCCAGAATATGTACGAAAAGCCATCACCATATTCGACAATGCTTATGATGCGGTCAAAGATACATACGCAATCGTTTTATGTACCGAATGGGATGAATTTGTTGTGAGTATACGTCATTGGTATACTTTTTTTTATAAAACGACATGTTTTTTATTTCGCTCTCTCTCTCTCTCTCTCTCTCTCTCTCTCTACTTGTCACATAGGAACTGGATTACAGAACCATTTACAGTAAGATGATGAAACCGGCATACATTTTCGATGGACGAAAGATATTAAAACACAAAGAACTGCAAGAGATAGGCTTTCATGTTCAGACCATAGGCAAGAAGTTGAATCGAACCGGTTTACTGAGGTCATGGGCTGCTTCACAGCAATAACATCGAATCAACTTTAATAAATAAAAAAAAAAAATTAAAAACAAAAAATTCCACATCATTTTCAAAGTATTACCGTTCAAATCAAGTTTGCATTGATTTAATATAGCAATAAGAAATGTGAAAAAAGAATAGCACTGCGTTTATCAGTCGATTTATATCATTAGCGCTTAGATAATTCACGGAATTAATTATAAATGGAGAAATTGTTCAAATACATTGTTATATCAAATTTCTGATCACCATCAAATGAATTGAATTGAAGCTTATCGTTTATTTTTAAGAATTACAATATATTTCCATTCGACATAAACATAAAAACAAAACGTTTTTCATTTAATGTTATGAACTACGAAACAAATATTATTTAGCGTCATAGCAACCGAAACGAATGAGTAGGTATTTTATTTATTCAATATGGTCGAACTGTAGCTCATGGTTTCAGTTCAGTTGTTTGGTAATGGATCAGTTATACGCTTGGAAAATGATTGATTCAGATTTTCCCGATAAAATCGAAGAACTTGAGCACATTGCAATATTTGGTTTTGATGGTTTGTTTACTTGATTAGTTTTCTTCGTGTTCTTTTTAACGCTCGAGTTTGTTTTGAAATTTATCTTAAATCATTTTTATATATTTAGGCACCAAACCAAGTGGACTGAAATTACATCAAAATCATTTGATTTTTCCGCTCGGCAGCAAGATCTCCATTATTAATGTTGAAACAAATAAACAGGAATTTTTATGCGGTCACACGAACACTGTGTCAGCGATTGCCGTTTCCAAATGGTGATTAAATGCTTGAAATTAAATACACTCTGTTACACTATTTCATGGTATTAAATGAAATATCGATGTTTTCTAGTGGGCGATATATCGGATCGGGACAGATAAATGAGAGTGGAAGTCGTGCGTATGTGATTATATGGGATTGGACAAATCGGCAGGAAATCAGCCGATATCAATTACATAAGGCAAGCAACAAAAAAAAACTATTGATATTTCAACTCACTTCCCATAGTTTTGGTCGGTCATTTGGTCGTTCTCTCTATTTATAAGAAATTTACATAAAAAAATGAAAAAACATTTGAATTTCCTGTGCCCATCATGATTTCAGGATCAAATTCATTCATTGTGTTTTTCATCTGACGGAGAACATTTGATAAGTTTGGGTGGTGTCGATGATGGTCGATTGGTTGTTTGGAACATTGAAAAAAGGTTTGTTTCCCCAATGAGATGGCATTAATTTAATAGTAGTCAACATCTGACAATTTCATTTAAAGAATGGCTATTTGCGGTGCGTTAGCAAAAAATGAGGTCACCGGATTGGCACGCTCATTGTGCGCTTCGCATAAATTGGATAACATATTTTTAACATGTGGCGAACGTAAGTTTTTTTTTATATTTGACGAATGGTATTGAGTGAAATAAAATGGAATTTGTTTAAAAAAAAACTAGAACATCTTCGAATCTGGCACATAAATACGGATAGTAAAAAGCTCAATGTGCTTAACGCAAGTCTTGGTAAAATACGCCGAAATTTCACATCAATGATAGTAAGCAGCGATGATTCAACGGTTTACGTTGGCACCATGAGCGGTGATGTGGTGAAGCTGAGACTGAATTGTCGTCAAAATGAATTCAACAAACCAACACTAATCGGTGCGTATGGACGTCACAATCCAAGAAAATCGCCGGGAAAAGACTGCGAAAAATACATGAATGGTGTACGTGACTTGATTTATGTCAATAATGAACGACAATTGTTGATTGGCGCCGGCGATGGAACCATTGAATTGGTCGAAGAACGTAACATATTTATCAAAGACTATCCAATGCCCACATGGCCTATGTTCAAGGCGGTAAGTTTTAAAGTTTTTTTTTTATATGATGACTACTTTGGACTGAATTCATTCTACACTTACACTACAGTTGAAACGAAAAAAAGTCAACGGATGCGTAACTTCGCTGCAATACAGCAATCAAACAATTTATATTGGAACAGATTCATGCGAAATCTATACCCTTGACTATCAGACATTTATATTGAAACTACAAATTACTTGTAACAGCTGCATTGTTAATGACATTGCATTTCCACAGTAAGACTAGAATAATATTTTTTCCAATAAAGTTCTAACACACATATATTTGTTCAATTGTATGTTTTGCAGTAATTTTTCATCAGTTTTTGCAACAGCAAGTTATCAATCGGTTCGAGTGTGGTCATTAACGAAAAAGCAAGAACTTTTACGTATTGTTGTGCCAAACTTTTTGGCGGCCGCTGTTATTTTCTCATTCGATGGTCAAAGCATTGTAACAGCATGGAATGACGGCGTCATCAGAGCATTCACACCACTCACCGGAAAATTGATTTATGCAATATCGAATGCGCACAATAAAGGTGAGCACCGGTCATTTTAAATGATCGAAAATCGAATTGAATCTTTTTTTAAATAAACATTGTCTGCAGGTTGTTCAGCGTTAACGATATCAAGTTGCGATAATTTGCTTGTGTCTGGCGGTAATGAAGGCCAAATTCGAATATGGAGAATTGCAGCGGCCCAACAAAATCTTGTAACGGTTCTAAAGGAACATACAGCACCAATCGCATCATTGCAATTCAATTGTTTTGACCGTGAAATCGTGTCGAGCTCAAGCGATGGAACATGTATTATTTGGGACATAACGTATATATACCATCAATTTTCGGAACACAACCATTCAAAAATGCATTAATTTTTTGTCACATTTTTTTATTGGATTTTATTTAGGCGTATGACCCGAAAACATGTTCTTAGCGCAAATACACAGTTCACTTGTGCTGAATTCTTTCCATCTGGCGTTCAAGTATTGGCCACAGGAACCGATCGAAAAATCAGCTATTGGGAGGTGTTTGATGGCAGTCTGGTGCGTCACGTTGAAGGTAGTTCGACAGGTTGCGTCAATTGGCTGTCGATTAATTCATCGGGCGAAATGTTCGTGACGGGCGGTGTTGATCAAATTATCAAGGTGACTTTCTTGATGATGGTGATTTTAAACATTGTGGAAATGAAATAGAAAAATCTCTCCATTTCAGTTATGGGATTATCAAACCGCTTTGCAGATGTGTGCAGGCATGGCACATGCGGCAAGTATTGTTTGTTGTCGATTCAGTCCATGTGGAAAATTCATCGTTTCAGGCAGTGAAGATGGTGCCGTTATTATCTGGAAAATACCAGAGGTAAAACGAACATTACATTCCTTTAGGTTATTTTTAAGATTTGTGTTTTTTTTTTTCTTCATTAATAAATTTGTAGAAATATTGGCCAAAACCTAATGCTGATCCATTGAATATATCATCAATTGAGAGTGTGAAGAAAAAATTCTCGAAATATGAAAAACGACCGGAACATATAAAACAACAAGTACAATTGGATCGTTCGAAAAAAGATCTACAAATCTTCGAATGTCCTCCAATTAAATCCGATGCACAAACAGCGAAAAGTATCAAGTCAACGCCGTCTTCGAAAGGCTCCAAGAAAAATTAAGAAACACTTTCAATAACATTTTAATTGTGTATTTATTTATAAAAAAAGGCAAACATGATTTAGTCTTTTCGTTTCAATTTCTGAATAAAGTGAACAGTATTTGGCATCACAAATTAGGTAAACGATTGTTTTTATACAGTGAGATTTCAAATTTTTGTTAAATATCTGATTCGCTATCATCAGCAATTAACGTGTGCAAGAATTCACGAATCTTATCGCGTGCCTGCTTGAGTTGTGGAATATCCGTATCCTTTGGCTCGTACATATTGGCACAATGAGCAGTGCCTTCGATATAAATTGTTGGCTTTGATGAATCATCAGATTCGGTTAGTCCCAATGCATGCCAAGGATCTATAGAACCATGCACATAAATGACGTTGGTTGTGTTCGGTTTCAGTCCCAAATAAAATTTATTTGTCTTATTTATTGAATTGAAGAGATAATCGGCGTCAAAGTCATGACCATAGATATCTGTACATTGTTTCACAAAGAATACAAGGGGGAAACGATCACCGAAAATTCGGTCCTTCTTATCGGATGTTTGATAAAATCCGAATTCATTGCACGTCTGGTAAGTCCATTGAATACCTTATTAGAAATTGAACAAAAATAAAATTGAATTCAATACATTCACAATTTCGTGTTGTATTCGATTGTTGATTCCTACCTCCGTTAGCTTCATCGCTATCCCATGATGTGTTCTGCATCAATTTAATCATTTTGTCATACTTGTAGTCGAGACACGTTTGATTACTTTGCTGGAGAAGCAAAGTATTAACTGCAGCCAAGCGGTCGATTTGAGCTCCAATCGAAGTATTGACCATCAAACCACATATGTCATCAATGGTAATTTTTGCATGCGGACTATTGTCTTTATTGTATTGCACTACACCAGCAAAATTGGAGGCGAGACTCTCAAAGAAATTCGATATATCCATTATGTTATCGGCTGATTCTTCGATTGAGTCACAAAGCCTAAAATAGTTTATCCATGGATATTTTTTATTTTAAATGGAAAATGAATAAAAACATATTCGATAATATCATGATATTTACTTGAATTTTGTGTTGAGACTTCGTTGGCCGATCATGTGACGCAATAAGATCTCAACTTGTTCAATAGATTTTTGTACGGCAGTTACGCACGCCTCCGAATATGTTGACAATGAACTCTTTACAACGTCATAGTATTCTGGAAATGTAAAAATCACAATGAAACTTAGTAAACTATTGCTTATGATATCTCATTTGATTCGATGTGACATTATTTGTATGGGCGTATATTTTCAGATAATTCTGAAATTCATTTTCAGATGATTCAAATGATTACCGAAAAAATCAGCTTTGGCAAGTAACGGTCCACTTGTGCTGACCGAACCATATACAAGATTTGGATATTTTTCACGAAGCCATGCGGCCAGAGAACCCGGATAACTTCCGCCAAATGCAATCCATTTCACATCCTTATCAAACTTATATTCGGCATTTTTGGCTTCAATGAATCCAGCCAAATCGGCCAACGCTTGTTCTGATGATAGATACTTTAGGCTTTCAATCGATAAATCTCTACGTAAAAATGCAACATAAAATAAATCATTTTGGAATAAATTTGAAATTGATTGTGTGATTTACTTGGTTGGTCGACTTTTTCCGTAGAATCGGTGTTCCAATTGAAAACAGAGAGCATTCATTTCACGGGCATAATGTATCCACGCACCTTGGACCATCCAAATTGGTTCAGCTTCGCCTTCACCGCCTATCATCAAAAATACTGGCCCTCCCTTTTTGTAAAATGTATCGTTCGTAAAATAACGCTGGACAGACAAAGACATGAATAATATACGTTAAAATTCATTTGTTTTATCCTAGATTTTATCAATTTAAACCAATCGGTTGTAATCTCAATGCTGTTTTTTGTCATTGAAAATTTGTCATTTTGCTCACAATAATTGTGCGTCATACCTGTTTCCAAAGTCCATTGTTGTTTGGTGAAAAATGATCGAGTTTTTGGTCGAACCACTGATCGGGCGGAAGTTGCTCGCGCGGTACATTCTTAAATGGTGCAATTAAATTACCACCGCTTCGATGCCCTTTCGAAAATACACGCCATCCGTACGCATTTTCTAGCAATGCTAGAAAAATGAACAGAACACAAATTTTGATCGCCATGACTATGTAACTTCAATTCAATTGATAGAGGTTATGAATGAAGTGCATAACAAAACAAAATAAAGCCTTTTCAAATACACAACATAGTCGCTGTCTTACCATATGTGAATTTGTTTGAATGTAGAAAAAAAATTACAAAATAATAGAATCTGATGTTATCTTATCTATCTATATTGTCAGTGAACGAAAATAATATAAATTGAAAGTTGCATTCGAACATTTAAAATGAATAAACTTAAACTGTTTGTTATGAGTGAAAGACTATGCATCGTGAGATTGAAAGTGTCTGAAAGTTTGCCAGACTGGGCATTGAAAAGTGAATCATTTTACAGCATTACTCGCACCACTGACGAAATCTCAATCGTGATCGACCAAAAATACGTTCCCTGTGATGCCAAAATCATAAGCGATGGACCTTGGCAGGCATTGAAAGTGGAAGGTCCACTTGAATTTAGTTTGGTCGGAGTATTGGCCAGTCTGACAGCCCCTCTCGCCACAGCGGAAATTAGCATTTTTGCTATCTCTACGTATGACACGGACTACTTATTGATCAAAGAATCATGTTTCCAAAAAGCATTGGCCGTGTTGACAGATGAAGGATTATTCATAGAAGAATGATTTTCATCTCATCTCTAGATCGAACACAACTCGAATCAACGTATTTTTTTTCACTTTCAAAATTTGATAAGAATCGTTTTATTCCAAAATTGGTAAAAATAGAAAATGTCCATCATTATCACAATGAAAAAATAAAATACAAACGGATCGTCTTCGATAGGCCCTTCAACAATTCGAATAAAGTGAGGTTATGCACCTCTTCTTTTTTCTGCCAAATGTCAATGGTTATGTTTTCATTGTATTTTAAGCGCGAAGAATTGACAACTGTTGCAATTTGGTTTTGAAAGGTGTTAACCCAAACAAACAATTCTGCGGTGTAGAAACGTAGTAAAAAAAAGTGAAACTGTCACAAATCCGAACATCCAATCGTAAAGTTTAAAACAATAGCTGAAGTGCCAAACGTATTGTGAAAGTGAGCGAAAAATAACTGAACAAATATGGAACAATTATTAGAGACATTTCCCGGTCGTGGTTCATATTTTAAAGATCTGTTTCGTTTATTTGGCAATGAATCGCATAGCTTTCCATCGTCGGTGTTAATTGATGGGGCATCGGGCACCGGAAAAACTTCGGCTTTGTTAAATTTTTTGGAACAATCAAGCATTTCATACGCTTATATTGATTGCATCGAATGTTACACATCAAAAATGTTCTTTGAGGCCATCGTAAACAAACTTTACGGCCACGAATTGACGCCAAATAACAACTTCGAAAACTATGCGAATTGCGATAGTGCTGAGGATTTAATGGACGTACTGAATGCAATGGATCCGAATAAACAGTATGTGATCGTTTTAAAGAATTTTGATCGTTTGCATGAAATCGAAGCAAACATTTTACCAATTATGATGCGACTCAATCAATTTGTGCCGGTTCTTAACATGTCTTGCATTCTAATCGCATCACAAACACCATTGAATTACATCGGAAAGCAAGGTTTGGTGCCAACAATGACCATTCATTGTGATCAATATGGTAAAGATGATCTACTGAAAATTCTATCCAAACAAAATGATCGTTTGCGCAGAACAATGATGGATATTGTAAATGAAGGCACCGAAGATAAGGACAAACGAAATCAACGTCTCCAAATTCTGGAAAAATTGGATGAACGGTTTTTCATTGGATATTTTAGCTCATTTCTTGACACATTCTTTTCAATCTGTCGAAATGCCAAAGAACTTGTATATTTGAGCAATGCCAACTTTCCAATTTACTGTAAGCCGGTCATTGATGAGGAGATTCGACCCACGGAATTGCGTAAATTGTGGAAAAACATGGAGCTTCCATTCAAAATGGCCATGAACACCATTTATTGTCGAGTTGAACAGAAGAATACATTGAAAATTGTAAGTATGATGAGAAGATTATTTGTTATTTTTGTTCTATTTTAACAAATATCTTATTTTTATTCGATCAGAGCAAAGAAAATGATCATAATGGAGCGGCGTTGTCATCGACCAAAGTTGAAGTCCAAAAGTTGGAATTGCCACACTACACCAAATTTTTACTGATTGCAGCATATTTGGCCAGTCACAACGATGCAAAAATTGATAAACGCCTTTTTGTTAAGAATCATGGCAAACAAAAGAAACGACTACAAAATATTCGGTCGAAAGCAGTGGTATGTTTTGTCGCAAATCTATGAGACTTTCTGCAAAAATCGTTCGAAGAGATAAATATAGTAATGAATTTGTGTATTTTTTAGGTTTCGGAAAAGTTTTCAACTCAAATTGGCCCAAAATCATTCAACATCGATCGTCTTTTGGCCATATTTTACGCGATCAATGATACAAAGGTGTCGCTAACATCCGATTTACTCGTGCAAATATCCAATTTGGTGCGTTTGAAGTATTTGACATTTGTTTCGGGTGAAAATAACATTGTGGATGGATCGGCCCGACTTCAGTGCAACGTTACTTTGAACTTTATCTCGATGGTTGGCAAACATGTTGGATTCAACGTTCGCCAATACCTTTATGATTTCATGTGAAATGTAAAAATAACTATTTTGCTTAATGTTGTTATGGTCAAGCTATAGTTCGTTCTATCAGTTTAGTTGTTTAGCGAAGTGAATTATAAGGATCTCCATTATAAATGTTCAAACCAATAAAAAAGGAATTTTTGTGCAGTCATACAAACACTGTGACTTCTATTTCGAAATAAGAAGTTTATTTATTGCTAGATTCAACTGTCTAACGGAATGCCGGAACATTTAATGAAAACTCGAACATTTTGCCGGTAAAGCGTTCGTTTGTGAAAAAGTATTTTCGGGAAATGTTTCGGCATTCATCTAACGGAATCTCAGAATAAAAAAATAAAATAAAACAAACGACTCGATTAATTCAATTAAACATTTATTTTGTTGCTTTAAAATACATACATGCATTTCATCTTAAACAATATTTATAAAAAAATCTTCAAAGTGAAACGTTTTCAATTTCTTTATTACAATTTCTTTTAATATGTTGTCCGTTTCATTTTAATACTAAAAATTTGCCTGATGGAACGCATTTAATATTTGTTTAATCTTCATTTTTCTGTTAGTTTTATTCATTAATCGTCACATTAATTCAACATTAAAAAAATATATAAAACATTTTAAGTTAAATTTAAAGTGTTGTAAATAATTCAGAAAATTTCAGAATTTCGCTTAATAAAAGGTGAGAATGAAAAATATTTTGAGTCGATTTATCGATACTTTGAATAGCAATTGTTTTGAAAATTCATGGCCTGCCCATTTAGCTGCTTTGATTTTATGTTGCGATTTGAATTTTTTTTCTTTTAAATTTCAAAATTTGACAAGAAAATCGTTTCTTTAAATTATGGCAGAAATCGTGACTTTTTTGTGAATAATTTTTTGTCTTGTTGAAAGATTTCAAAAATACAATTTCAAAGACTCATGAGATTTAATTCATTTGGAATGAATATTCTCTTTTTTCGTGTTTTGTTTTTCAAAATAAATTGGCCAAATTGAATGATTTTGGAGGTAGGGATTTGTTTAAGCATAAATTTTACTGATGTCACTGAAATTGTGCTCAAAATGCGAATTCCATTGAAATCTTAAAAATGAACAAAGTACAAAAATATATATGAAAAACATGAAGTTGTGCAAAAATAGATGTGTTCTTGTTGTTAATAAATGGAGTTTGATAAATACGGAAGTATCACCTTTTTATACAATTAAACTAGTACATTTATATATAAACAATTTTGGGAGGGAGTACGACCGTTTCTCTGTGTCATTTTATTAAAAATTGTATATGAATTGTATATTGTGGGGTTGTATTTTGTATATTTCGTTTCTATCGTCTATCGCTGTATTTGAAATTGACAATTTATTGATTCCATTTTTTTTTTGTTTTAGCTCATATCATTTTTTCATATTTTAGCTCATATTTTTGTTTCATGTAAAACTGATTGTTCATCTAAAATAATCTTAGAATCTAATACATTTAGCTAAACATTTACAATTAATTTCATTTTTTTTTTTTAATTTAAAAATACATTCCAGATCGTATTTGTCATCATTTTGCATTTTAAAAACACTTCGATGTGTGTTTGTTCTTAGTCTTGATCTAATTGTATGCATGCACTCCGGAGCCGTACGTGTCATATAAATTAATTTAATTAATTATTCGTTCATTTTGATTCTACTTTACATTTAAAAAAACGACATATTTCTTCATCTTTTTTTCTCATGCTTAAAAATAGACTAATAAATTTGTTTGAATTCGTTCATAACACATGATGAATTTCTTTCTTTCGCTACTTTTGGCCTTTTTTTCTCAATACGTCAATACCTGAACGAAAAGAAAAACATCTCTATTGAATTATTAAAAATATTATGTTGATCGCTTGTTTCATTTTTTTTTATCAATTGTTTCTGTCTGGTGTACAGTATTTTTTTAACATCGATTTCGTTTAAAAACAACTATGTAAGTGGAGTATAAATATATTTATATTAATAAGAATCTGTCTAATATTCTTTTGTTTTTGTTTTTTTTTGTTTAGTGTAAATTTGTGCGTTAAAAAATGTTCTCTTTACTCATTGCATACATGTGTTTTGCGAGTATAAAGATTAGGTGGTTGCTGTGTCCTATTCAAATGATTTATTATAAACAAAATCAATGCAAAATACAAGAAAAGTAGTTTCATTCGCGTCGATGTTGATTTATTTTTTTATGAAAGCAAACATGAACAAATACTCGCCAATCGATTGTTATTTTTTTTTTTTGTCTTAAAAGAAATGATACTTTGATCCCATGGCATATGCAATTAATCTCAAAAAAGGAAGTTTGATTGAGTTTGAGCAAACAAAAATGTATTATTGTTAATATAAATTGAATCTCTTCGTTGCAGTTAGAATCAATAAAAGAGAGTACAAAATAGTTTCTTAATGTCAAGATTGATAAAACAAAAACCTGAATTGTAGCTAATATGTTTTGTGCGTGAAAAATAAATTAGTAATCTATGAAGAAGAAGAAGAATAAGAAGAAGAACAAAATTATATACGAAGAAGTTTTTTTTTCTTCACGAATAGATTCATGACGATAAACGAAAATAGAAAAGAAAAAGATAACTATACATATATTTAGATGTTGTCGTCATATCATTAATACAATTATGTGAATTAATACCAACACAAAAGGAGACAGCAAATAGTTCATGCAATTTGAGATAAAAGTATGTTCGTGTGCGCGTGCCATCGTCAATAAAATATATTTGCGTGAACATTGACAAAATGAAATATGTTTGGACGTTTGTTGGTTGTTTCGATTTTGATTGTTTCGTTGGATAAAATAATATTTGGAATTCAGAGCGAGACTATGCGTTGCGCCAGGCATTGAGCTCTAGTGAATTTGTTCAATTTTTTTTTGACTGGCAATGATTAGCAATTTTTTCTATTTGTCTCTTTTTATAAAAAAATAAGAATGGAACAGACATGCCAATTCGAAATATTATTGTAATTTGGTTAAGTTTTGGTCTGCTTGTGTTAAGTGCTTGTTTCATTCTTTTTCGTTTAATTTTCCCTCTGTAATATTTAATGTATAATTGAAACGGGATACCGTGTCCTATCGATATCTCAATTTTAATTACGATTGATTTTGTTTGTGTTCTTTTTTTCTCTCTCTTGTCTCTTTAAACTAATCGGATAGGTTTGAATGAATATATCATTCATTTTCATGCTTAAAATAAACCACAATCTTTTAAATTGTTTTTGATGATGACATCGGTCACGGCATCGAACACAAATTGAATGTTATTTGTATCGGTGGCACATGTCAAATGTGTATAAATCTCCTTTTGATCTTTCCGCTTATTCAGATTTTCGAATTTCATTCTTATGTAACTAGACGCTTCTTCATATGTATTTGAACCTGTTGGCGGCAGAAAGCGAGAGAGAGAAAGAAAGAAACGTGATTAGTAAATAAAATGTCAACCAATAATAATATTAATTAATTAGCACACATACCGGTATATTCCGGGAAGCATATGGTCAATGGTGAACGTGAAATTTTCTCTTCAAATAAATCTTTTTTGTTCAAAAACAAAATGATTGACGTTTCAACAAACCACTTTGAATTGCATATCGAATCGAATAATTTCATTGATTCAATCATGCGATTCATCTCTTCATCTTCGGCCAATACTAAATCATAACCAGATAATGCCACACAAAAGATGATCGCTGTTACACCTTCAAAACAATGGATCCATTTCTTTCGTTCCGAACGTTGGCCGCCCACATCAAACATTCTAAATTTACAAAAAGAGGGAAAAAAAATGGTAAATCATTTACGAAATTACTGAGTGGAACTTTGTGTTCCTTTTAAATTGCAGACGAGTGTTTACTCCCGAACAGACATTATATTGAGATATTTTCAGCCAGATGAATCAGCTCAGTGAAAACAATAAAAGTGATTATAACCATAACAATCATTTCTATTGTTTTCACTCCATTTCATCCCCTGACGATATCTGGCTGAGCTGATTCATCTGTCTGAAAATATCTCAATATAATGTCTGCTCCCGGATGAGTAATTAATGGCAATGTTTATTAAAAGGAGGATGTCTGCTATAATATGTATTTAGAGTGTATACATTATGCTGAGCAACATAAATATTTCATGAATTTACTTCATTTTCATTGAATTTCTTACTTGAAATGTAGTCCTTTGAAGCTGAAATGCGTTTCAACGATGCCAGTTGTCTTGACTCGAGTTCGTAGCACATCTTGTTGTGTTGGAATGTAATTTGGATGTGATATTCTATCTAATGAGTTTAAGTAATATGCAGCTGAATCGTTTAGTTGATATTCGCGTGATCTAATACGTCAAAAACAAACAAGATGAGAAAAAATAAATAAATAAAATAACCGAATGTTTAAGAGAAAGCTTCGATTTTGATTTCTCAGCAAAAAAAAAATATTATTTTTATTTACCGTGCGAAACATTTCTGCACACCAGGATCGGCCCATAAAATTTTCATCAATGAAACTAACTCATGTGTTAAAACACCTTCTTCGGCTGCTGATGCATATGTGAAAAATTGCCGTGCAATTTCCTGTCGATCAAATTAATTTTCGGTCCAAATAATAAATAAATCGTGTCATTCAATTTCATTGAAAGTTCAGTTTGTGAACGTGTGTTAGTTTTGGATTTGTCATCACAAATAATAAAGTGTGAATGGAAAGTACGTGTTATGTATATAACAGTATAGTGTTATTCTTACCGTTTTGTTGATGTCAGCAAAGTCGATACGTAATTGTCCCATGGCTCGTATTATTGCCATTAAACTTTGTATTGTATTGCTGTAGACAACTGGTCGATATTGTTCACATTCTTCTTGTGAATAGCCGGTTTCGTGTATGATTTTCATCTGTTTTACAATGGTCGATTTTCCCGATTCGCCAGCACCTACACATAATTGAATATGTGGAAGAGAAAGAAAATGAAACACCGTGAACAAATGACATAGATGATGGGGAAAACACACAATTTATGACACAAAGATGACATGCACATTCTATTGATTATTAATCAGCATAGTGCTCTTAATTGCATCAAATTAAATATAATATTCATTTTGCAATGTGCCAATTTACACATTTGATTTATTTATGAATGTAAAGTGACGATAGACCAGGAGTAGACATAGACAATTGAAAAACATGAGACTGTATGATAAACACATTCATAATGAGCATGAATTCAAATTGAATTAAATAATAAAACCTATTGACCCGTCAACATCAACATTTCAGCCTCTCTCTCTCTCTCTCTCTCTCTCTCCTTCCCTCTGTTTTAACTCGTCCAACAATAAAAAAAAAGAAATCAATTTCGATTTTATTCTACATACATTATTTCAATAAATTTATTTTATTTGGCTGTTAAACAGACGTCAGTGACAACTGCAAATGTAGGACAAATGCAAACCAAAGCGTGGTCAATGCATATTATTATATTTTGACTTGAACTAAAAACCAATTTTAATTGTATGGAAAATTTATATTTATTTATATTGATATCAAACGGTGGTCGTGTTCGTTAAGTTTTGAAGTACATACATTTTCTGCTCAATTATCAAGGATTCAAGTGATGATTTGCGGATGGAAAGCGAAGAAAAAAACGTTCATTCTTTTGAAATCGTTAATTATGTTCAAATTCATCATTTTTCGATTACCCCAAATAAGTGCCATGCAAAATTTGCAACAACCAAAAAAAGGCACACGGATTTCAATGCTCGCAAGCAATTTAATATGAAATGAGTAATTTTAGCCGCAGGTAGGTAAAACCATCCAAAATGGATGAAACCACTTTGACATTATTTCTTTAATACACTTTTTTTTCCTTCTTCGCAATTAATATGCGTTTGATTGCTACCATACTGAAATCATGAAATACTACTATAAATGTGTACCTTGAACATCGTCATTAAGTCGAATGAGAACAAAAAAAATTTAGAAAACCGTTTAAAATAAATTATATACCAAATGAAATGTTCGTTCGCTTGTTCCATCATTTTTCAATCATCTTTTTTACAAGCGTTTTATTCGTTTCATTAATGGTGCACGGCAATATTGTCAATTAATCAGCATCAATAATAGCATTTAATTATGGCTTAAATCTCATATGTGTGTAGAAAAAGTCGAGCCAGAGTGAGAGAGAGTTTGGAAGAGACACAGAGAGAATTAATTCAAAGAGAACTTTTGCAAAGTGTTCGTCCAAATGGGCGTGTGTATGTTTTTGTGCGTATAAAATAATTCAATGTTTGCGAATTTTATGTGTATATATATATAAATGTTTATGGGGATTAACAAGAACGGTGCCGCTCATAAAGTAACACTGAAAGCAATGAACATTATACACCGGGTCACCGAAACATATTATATGTATATAGAATTATAGAGTATACGTGAGTTCATATTTCGCACACAATTTGAGAGAGCAATGTTTAGCAAATGAAAGCATTGAATTTGTTTCGTGTCGTGTCGACATCGCTTGAATGGGTCATTTTCGAGACCATTCTATTCATTCAAAATTCATCAGTTGAACACAATGTTATACACTTTAAAGACGAACGCATTGTAATATAAAAGCTAATGAACTACCGAATAATGCTTGTGATGATGATTCTATGTTTCATTTTATTTTCATGTTCTTTTTTTTTTGAAATGGAGACTATTTCAACGAATTGATAATAAAATGCCATTCAAGACTATGAACAGAAAAAAATCTGTTTAAACATAAATATAGTGAGGCAAAAGTGTGAGACAGAGAGAAATTGTTTGTACACAGTCTGCTAACATACTATGCCATCGAAATAAATAGTCGCGCTTTGGGTTCTTATCGGGTGTTGTTGCATTTGGTTATGGTTTTGTTGATCAAATGGTCATATGGTTTTTGTTCAATGTTTGCTTAGAATATTCGATACCCTCGTTCGTTCGTTAGTCTCACTTTTTTTATTGTATCTCCTGCAGTCTAATAGTTAATATCAATGTTTGTTCATGAATCGTATTCTTTTAGAGACAAAATTAAGTGAAACGACATGAGAACACCATCGAAATAAAAGAAAACGAAATGAATTTCAAACATTTATTGACAGTTTTTGTTCGTATATAATCAAAGTTCAGATAAGAATTGAAATCTTACAACAGCGACGATGTCAAGTTGACATTGTCAATGCGTACCAGAAAAAGGAAACTGATCAATTTTTGTCTGCATGCAAAATGGTCACAAAACTGGTTCGCATCCATATAATGGAATAACAATTGACGATAACACAACCAATAAACCGTTTTTGCAAAAGGCAAACACATTTTACCATTGTTTATTAGATCGGTTCAGTTTGTCGAGATACTGGGTGTACGCATATCGGTGGCCGAGCACACAAACATAAATGGAAAAGCATTTCAATAAAAAAAAGAAGGCAACATCACATTTTCGTGTCACATTCGAAATGTGGCATTTTCACCGCATTTTTGTGCGACCGACGACATATACTGCTCTCTCCTTTGTGAGCTACAAAAAACACACACACATATTTTCAGATGATTTGCATGCGAACTGATCGATATAATAATCAATATCTTCTCTATCTCATTTTATTTGTATGTGTGAGAATATTTGCATAAAATCTGTTTGTAATACGAGAACACACTGAACTGAGTACACAGTGAGAATCGATGCGAGCTAAATTGAACTCACTGTATTTTGATTACGATACGCATAATTCGTTATTTTTTTCATCGCTTTAACCGATTAGGGTAGTGTCGCAATGGAACCAGTTTTTTTTTCATATGTCGTTTTTCATTAGTTTTCGAATCAGTCAACAGCCACCTTGTAATTATATATCAACTATGCTGTTTGACGTATGTGGTCGCATTGTCAAATGTTTGCTATCTTATTTTTTATTTTCTATCTCGATCTCACTCTTTCGCTCTCGTTTAATCTTTGGTTTTGTTCCTTTGTACGGCACCGACCTCGCTCATCACATGAAAGGCATCACGCACAATGTGCTAAAAACTAGCAGAAAAAAAAACAATAACAAAGCAACAATATCTCATCTCTCGTCGGATAGAAAGCACACACAGGAAGTTTTATTTTTGCTGTTCAAATGTACAAACACAGCAGTTCCAAGAAAATTATGAGTTTTAGCTCGACAACGACATGAGATATCAAAACGCATGCAAACTCGCTTTCCTTTTACATCTTCTCTCACTGCGTCGTCATTGTCTCTTTTGCGTGTTTGTGTGCTGATTTTTTGCTTCTTCGTCTTTTTCATTGCTGGAAATTTTTTTTATTCATTTGAATTTGTTTTTTTCTTCTTCTTTTGCTCTATAATTTAATTAACTATCAATGTGAACATTGCATTGTTTATTCTCGCACATTGGCTCCGGCGTTAACTTTAAAAGGTGCGGAGTTAAATAAATAAATCACTCTCGAAAAAATGAAAAGAAGAAATCTATTGACATGGTGAGAAGCGGCCAAATGGCGTTCAACAAAATTCAAGAATGAAAAATAGAATTTCTTTATGAATTGAACAAGCGACCATCAAGCTTTCTTAAAAGCCAACAATAATTTATCTCTCTCTCAATAGCATTCCCACTTAACATGAGTCAAACAATATATACATGGGTGTGTGAGTGTGCAAAGTATCTGTTTGTCGTGTGCTGAAAATAATATTTAAATCGGTATGCGGTCACACTTTACGTATGACACAAGAACAATTGGCAGCATTTTTATAATAGAGAATTGTAATCAGGTTTCAAGTATTGCTGCTTAATAAAAATGAAATGATTTGCTATGATTCATTCGCTTAAATATGAACAATAAACAAGTCATCAATTATGACAGATTCTCTTTCCGTTTGTTTGAATGCGCGCACCGCCAATCAATGAATATCAGTTTTGCACACAATCGAATCGCAAATGATTACAATATAAAAAATACGAAGAAGAAGAAAAGGCGAACGAATATAAAGGCAAGACACAGAGAAATCAAAGACTTGCACACAATCAAAGCGAATAAATAAAATAAAGATTTGAGGAAATGAATCTTATGCATTAGACTTCAATATTAATGGCCATTGAAATTGCAGATTTGATTCTCTGTTTCAATCGGCATAAATTATATGGTGAAATGTTATATGAAATTGCAATTACTATATGTGCATGGTAAAAACCATGAGTAAATAACAAATTAAAACAAAAACGCTGTGCCGGAGTTTTTCCATTTCATTTGAGCTAGATTGTTGAATGAAGATGAGCCGATATTTTCAGTAGTTCGTATAACCATCAAGCGTTGTAATGAGAGTGTGCAAACATCGATGCAAAGTTAAAAAACGAAATAAGAAAACAGAAACAACAACAAAAAAGCACAACAATACACGGCCGGTAACAACCAACATCAACAACATTCATTCAGAGCTTCGTTCAGCGCTACAACCGAAATAATACCAGCACAACTGAACGCAAATAGGTACAACACTGGCAATAGTGAGTGAGCAAAACAGACAGAGAGAAAGAGAGAAAGAGAGGAAAGAAACAACTACACCGACAAATGATAAAGTAGTCGAAGAAAATGCATAAAACTTACTCATATTTAATTTATAACATGAAAAGTGAACTAATAACCAAATGGTTATAATGAACATGCTGTAAACGCATTCACCAGCACATACAAAGAGAGACATTTAGGAAAGAAAAAGCAACACTCAAATAAACGCATGTAACGTATATAAAAACCCAAGTGTATGTAAACGGCGTGTTCTCGACGGAATTTTCTCTGTAAACCAAAATATGAAATCTGTTTTATGAACACAGAGATATTTGCATGTACGAAGTTCTCTGTCTCTTTCTCTGTCTCTATCTTCCTATCTCGCTCCCTCCTTCAATCTCTCTGTCTCACTTGATAAATGCGTGTTTGTTTTGTACGTGCGCTTGTATGCGTACGACCGAATGAGTTTGAATGCTTGTTAAACGAATTCAACGTTTGCATCGAAATGAACATTTAATTATGAGCAGCAAATATCTATGTTAAATTCCTTGTTGAACACGAGTTGAAAATGCATTTGATGATGCTTTTATTATTTGTTTAATATGTTGGTGTTGTTATTTAGTTTTTTTTTCTTTCTTTCTTTCTCTTCACTTCATAACTTTCGCTAGTCAACAATATTTTAGGCGGAGAAAAATGAATACAACACAGAAATGAACGAGCGAAAGAAATACGCCGAATAACAATGGGTTACAGAATAAGAAGAAATTATATATTTTAAATGCATTCAACAATTTACCATCAAAATGAATATATGTAAAAGAAAACTAGAGAAATAGATTGGTAAGAAAACGGCCAATGCAAATCGCTGGATGACAAATTGGCAAAGCGTAAAGAACATACGTTTATTTATTGTTTGAAATTTAGAATTTTGATGCATCGTTTGATGTGGTAAGATTCCATCACCAACTACAAAGTGCACACTGATTTTTGTTACGGAATTTTATGCATTTTAACTTTAACAACAACATTCCGAAACAAAATGCAAAGCAAATGAACTGAATATTTGAATGGCGACAATAATAACAACGACGTCGACGACGTCGACAACGACAAATGTAAAACAATTTACGTTCGGCATTTATCTTTTAACCTCAGACATTCCATAGGTCAAAATTACCTCAATTCAAACTATATGCCATGTACTACTAGTAGCTAGCTCGATTGCATCGAATAGATAAAGTAGTGAAATGAGCCCGAGGAAAATAAGATCAATGCGCTATATTTGATGTATTTTGCAACGTTTTCTAGTCTGTCACATTTTTTTCTTTATATTTTTCAAGAAAGATCGAGAGCAAATGAGAATGTGACGTTATTGTTGATGATGATGAAAAGAAAAGATGAATCTTTGTAAAGCATCTCACGAGCAAGTGAATGTGCGCGAAATTGAATGAGTTCTTAAGCATTTCTCTGTCTCTCTATGAATATGTAATCACTTTTTTTTGTTGTTGTATACATACCCAAAAGCAATAGTTTCACTTCAGATGCTGCTCTTTCGCCATCGGCACGCAATGCCCTGTCAATGTTTTTCGACCGTTCTATCGCCTCTTTATCTCTTGATGCACTCACTGCACAGCCCATTTTGATTCGTTCTTATTTCTTTCTTTCTCCCTCGATGTATGTTGTTTATTTTGTCGATATAATTTCTCTTTTGTTTTCACGTCACTTTGATTTTTTTTTGTATTTTCGATTCGATTTCGTTTCCGCCGTTTAGCTTCTATCTCGTTTTATATTTTCTTCTCTTTTTCTTTCTCTTCGATTGCTTTATTTTGTTTTCAATTTGATTTAAAACACTCACGCACACTTATTAATTACGACACAATGAGAAGCCAAGAAACAAAATGCAACAAAATAAAAACACGATGCTCACTTTCCCGTCGATGTTGATTCCACTAATATAATGCCAAACTTACGATACATATAATGAACGAACAAAAAAATATATATATATCTTTTTATATGACACTTGTTGCACTACTAAATTTAGCAAATTCAATGGAAATCAAACAATTTTTTTTGGTTTCAATTCGTCACCAGTAAATTTGAAATGTTGCTGTGAGATTTTTAATTTCTACTTCTCTGCGTTGCATGTATATATGGGCTGATTTGTTCTGGACAGGGAAAACATTCGTTACAAATGTTGTGTAGCCGAGTATTTTTTTTATTCTGAATCATCGACAATCGGAATGACAATACATGGAATGTACGAATGCGCTCATGTATACGAACTGAAAACGGAGAAATACGGTTAAAACATGGAGAGCACACACAACAACACGAATTTCATTTATTTTACAGTAAAATCACACACAACGATACCGTATCGCCCCACGCTTTCTACTCACATTATTTCACTGTGCGGTGATTTGATGTGACCTTTTTTTCAAATTCATAAAATCGATGCGATTTTAATTAAAAATTTGAATGCAAAATTTCAAACAAATGAACGCTTATTTCGAGAAAATTCGTTGTAAATTCAAAATACATCGACAACCAAAAATGACTTCACTGTAGCCACAAATATTGTTTACTATGAAGTTGTATACAAGAGATTATGTTCTAATATTTGTTTTGTGCGTAATTCATTTAGGGTTATCCGATGCCAAACGAAATTGAAGATTTTGTTCATTTTGACTATTTTGAAAAAAGGTTTCAAATAAATTTATTGAACATTTGAACGCTTAAAAAACATATTGTAAATTTTAGAGTTTTTGTATGCGTAATTAAAAGCGAACATTCATTTGCGTTATGAACGATTCACTCTGTTCAACAGAGTCGGTTGTTAGTTGCATTTGGATAGGTTCAGTAGTTGACTCGGCGAATTTTAATCTAAACACGGTAGTGACATCTATATGAAAATAGAACAATTCCAATTGCCGCTCTTTTGAAGTTCAAAAAAGATGTTAATAAAAAAATATTTGCCTATTTCATTTCATTAGAGAGATGTCTCCTTCTTTCAAAATCTAAACCCAGTTCAATGTTGAGGAAATAAAAAAAAAAGAAAATAATGAGAATAGAATGTTCTATCTTAATGAAGAGCTCTTTTGGAATTTTATGTTGCCATTGGTGGTGTTATGACGATTTTATGCAAACATTGTGTTTGTTTAAATAACGATTTGATCGAGTAATTTTACCTCATTCGTTGTTCATTCATGATCGCAATAAATTTGCTTCACTTACGATTGTTTATAAGAGGCAAAGCGAAGCTTTGCTAATTACTCGTTCTTTCAATATTTAATTTAACGACCGAAAAACTAAAATTACTTGCTTTGTAAACAAATCAAAAAGGATGAGCTAAACGGACAAAATTTATGAATTAAACAATTCTATTTTTGGATATCGCAAAAGTTTAAATTTAGGAAAGTGAAAGAAAAAGAAAATCATGTAAACGAAAGCATAATTTTCTATCCACTTTCAAATCAGTCGTAAATTTGAGATTTCGCCAAACAAATAGGTTTTGGCTATTGACATTGATCGGATTTGTGTTCTGATTTTTACAAAATCGTGTTAGAAAATATGCCTTTGCACTGTCGGTCATCAATTTATGATGAATCAATTTGAATTGACGCATGTGTTACATGTTAGAGGACGCAAGTGACGACATATTCCATCAAAATTGAAAATAAAACACGACTTTTGTATGAAATAAACCGTCAAATATTCCGCCTAAGGACCACCCATTTTCTTATAAAAATTGAAACGAATGAAGAAAAAAGTTTTGACGAAAAAAAAGTCGAAGAGAAGAAAAAAAAATCCTTGTGTAAACACATGAAAAATAAAAGTAAAATTTGTTGAAGGGAAAAAAAGGGAATGCGATTGTAAAAGTGAAACTACTGACTTTACCGCATCAGCTATTAAGAGATGCGAGAGACACAGAGGCGGAAAAAAAGACAGTACAGTGAAGGCAAAGTTGAACAAGTGCATGGCATACACAAGTCTACAAAGAAAAACCAATGCATCAGTAGCGATGTCAGTGCATCATGTGTTTTCGACCCGCTGCGCCACCGATCACACAAAGGCACAATTCGACCGTTTAATCTAACGGCGAATGCAAGCCGATTTAATTGCCATTGCCTTCAATTATGACTGTATCATGTGCATTCGTAATAAATTCTTTGTAGCATATTGCTGCCGCTTGCCTCTATTTGTTTTTTCTCTTGCTACAACTCCTTGCCTCTGAACTGATTTTTTTCATCTCTCCTTCAATTCTTCAACAGATTTTTTTTTCACTCTCGTTTGACTCGTTCATGACTTCATGTGTTGTTGTTTCGATGCTGTCTATTTTGCTGCCATCATATCATCATGTTTTATTGGGATCGAACCTACACTACTAGAACACTATTTATACAAAAAAAGCAACAACGTATTAAAACAGCAATAAATGCGGTAGTTTAGATCACAGGCACCTTCACTCCATGTATCATTCGGATCGGTTCACGTTTTTTTTTTTCTATATTTCTTTTTCTTCAAGCTCATTTTGGTTTGTCTCGTTCATTTTCGCTTTTCAATAAAAGAACACATCATCGCAATGTCGATGATGATACAATGAGTGAAAAACTTTAGAAATATGCTAAACGCATCACATTCTCGTTTTTCTCTCATTTTTTATTGCATGTACATTGCACGCACAAAAAAACACAACCGTTTGATGTGTGTAATCATTTTTCTATATGTCGTGTTAGAATTTACATATTACACACACATACAGAGAGAGAGAGAGAAAGAAAGAAAGAGCAAATCGTGTGATGAAACAAACCACTGTCGACGTCTGGAAAATTAAAATTAACATGAAATAGATCAAGATTTCACCACATTACGATTAATCATTGCAATCCTATTCGGATTAGAATTGTAATAATACACGTTATATTATCGGAATTTATATTGTCGATAGAGCGTATTTCCAGGCGGCAATGAATTGGCAATGGATTTATATACACAAAATATATATTCGGGAAATGGCCTGTTATCACAGACATACGCACATAGGAAATATTTTGTGATTTCCGTGGGTTTTGTCGGCACTTGAAATTCGGAATTCATCGCCAGAATTCTTCCGACGGACCAAAAAACCGCCAAATCGATGTTCAATTGGTTCGATAGTGATTTTGAGCGGCTGTGTTGATGGATATTTCGCAGAAGCACAAGCTTCACTGGTGGTTTCATGTCATCACTTGACTTGATATAACTGAAATGAGAAATGAAAAATAGACATATACATGCAGGAATATAGTCAAGCACCCGAACGATGGAGCAAAAGAAAGTCAAAATGAAAACTGTACAGACGATATAACCGCGATCCATGTAGATCGATAGCATCACAATGATCCACATATAATCTTAATGTTTAATTTCAAGCCCAAGTGGTTCGTTATGCCAACCAAATCGCATTTTGAATACACCAAAACAAAGTGAGAGAAAATTAGTTGATTAATTAGTTTTCGTTTCGAAGCTCATTTTTCGTATAGAGAATGCTACTATATCAATATCGAGAGCATTGGAAGCAAACTGACGTGAAAAAAGAACGAATCGACTGGCGAAAGTGGAACGAGCCACAAATTTACACATGTTTTATGTTGTTGAGTACTTTTTTCCGCTCTTGATTTATCGAACAGTAGACAAGACGAAGAAGAAAAGAAAAGAGATAAAAATTGGTTGGTTAGATTCAAGGTGTTGAGAGGTGTTTCTAATCTCTCTCTCTTCTTTTTGACATAGAGCGATGAAAAACCAATTGATTCCTATTCGAGATCGCTTCAAACTTCAAACAACATGAAAACTCACCAACTTTGTTAAATAGAAAAACCCTCGGCCACCAAAAATTCCGACCCAAAATCGTTGTGTTGTGAAAATACAGAAAAAAACCACAATCGAAAATAAAATCATTGATTTAATATCAATAACGGTTTTAATATTCAAATAATCAATGTTTAATGCCAAATGATGTTTAAAGGCATTATTTGGCGCCATGCTTTTACATGCACATGTGTGCCGTTATTCAGTGCTAAGCATGCCCAAAAAGTATCAAATTCGAGCACTTTTTTTTCTCTTGTCCGTTTTGTACGGTTTTTTTTTCATCTCTTTTTCTTGTCGTTTTTCAACTCTGGCATACGAATAAATGGTCCTGATATTTTTCAATTCTATTACAGATCAGTACGTAGTCTCATCGTTTGGTATGTTTTTTTTTTTTTTTTCATTTTTATTTTCGGCACTCGGCTCAACACATTTGTGTATTTATTGGAGGTTTTTTGTTTTGCCTCTATTGTACACTTAATGGCAAATTTGTTAAAGCAACAAACATAGCAGCAATACAGCAAAGTTGCCTGTGCATTGCAATAGGTACCGAATTGGTAGTGTTGGTGGTCTATTTATTATGTAAGAAAATGCTGCAAGATGATGAACACTTTTGACATGATTTCAACTCGAGCATTTCAAAAATGCGTAAATTGAGATATATCCATGACATGGATCAATACGCTTCACAAAATCACACTTGTCAACAAAAATGATCGAATATCAACGCCGTCACATAACAACATCCTTTTTTTATTCAATCCCAAACAATTTAAATATCGTTAGACCGTTTTTTTTTTCTCTCTCTCACAAGAAAGGTATGTTGAATATCTTGTTGAGTTTTCATTTGGAATTTTACACGAATGTACACTGAGGATGGCAAGAGATAGAGAGAGAGAAAAAATGATTTTAATGACCGTTCGTTTGGTTGTAAAATCTGCATAATGACTAGGATGATTTTTTTCTTCCTCACTCAAAACTGTCTGGCCGGCGATGATTGTTATTGCTCCATAGCGCATAAGTAACAAAATCAAACATATGGAAACAGGCATCGAACGCATAATTTTTCGTTTACAAAGAATTTCAAAAAAAAAAAAAAACATTTAATCTGATTTTATCCCAAACGGAATTTGAAATGATTTCGACGGCGGTTGTCGATACGATGGCATCATTCGGCCAAACTGGTGTATATCATTTTTTTCGGTCTGCATTCTTTTTTTCGTCGTCGTTGCTGCCTTTAGTTCGGCAATATCAAATCGATTGCATTCGTCTTATGATCGGGTGCAAGTGTTTGGTTAAATAGTAAACAAAATGCATCAAAGTATTTATTAGTCCAATGCAATATGGAAAAAGGGGTTCGATCGTAAAATTAGTCATATTAACCGTTATCCATTTCAAAATATCAATGTGTCTTCAATGTATGGTTTTTTTTTATTCGTTCACTCTTTCAGTCGATCATTTTCGATCTTCTTCTTGCAATGAGAAAAAATTTATCGCATTTTCTAAGCCTGAAAGCAAATTACGGAAAGGAAAACTCAGCAAAATGAAGAAGAAGAAGAAGAACGTTCACCGTTTTATAAACAAATCGCGTCTTTGCTCTCCTTTTTTTGGATCTGTTTTGATTTCAAAGAGATATTTTTAACTCATCGTTTTCAGCATCAAATAGAGATCAATGCAGAAAAAATTAAATCGACACAACGGATCGGAGTGAAGAAAAAAATGTATTTTTTTTAAAGAAACAATTCACAAATCAGTGAGAGATGTGATTCCATGCATGTATGTAATTTTTATTCTTCTTCAAGAATTCTAGAGAGGAAGCTATGCCTTTTGTCGACGATCAGGCATGTGTTTGTGTATTAGTGTGCATCCGTACGGTGAATGTGATTTTATGTGATCTGTAAATAAATGAGATATGGATAATATAAACAAAACCGTTCAACGGGCATGAAAATTGAAATTTTCATTTGGTAATTATAATTTCGTCTCCATTGCGACACACTTATGTTCGCACTCTATGCAACAGTGTGCTTCAAATCATTGGCCAGCAGTTAATTAAGTCATTTTGCATTGACAACGATCTTTTTTTGTTAGCACATAGCCCCAATTCAGGCACTTCATTCAATTGAAATTAACATTTTCACACGTTTTGTCTTATGTGGTAAGTTAAAAATTGGGATTACGAGATTGTCCTCGCAGTCATTTGATTATTGTTTACATTTATTTATGTTTGTAATTTGAAAAGAACGAAATTATTTGAGGTTTTTTTTCGTTCGATGGACGAACATGTTTAGATAAATGTATTTATTGAATGAAATGCTGTGTGTCATGCACTTGAACGAGAATAGAATAAGATAAAATAGGATTGTCTTTACAATGTATTTCGTTGGTTTTGTAAAAATAAACAATTGAAATAAAACATTTCTAAATGAAAATAAATAATTCAGCGTGAACTCTAATCCATCTCAATCGTATGCTTGTATGTGTGCTTGTGTGTTTATTTCCATTCGTATGAAACGTTGATCGCCAAAATGTCGCCAAAAATGTTTCGATATTTAATTTCACTTTTTTTTCTTGCTTAATTGTGCATTGGCAAGCACAACGAACGAAAGGGAAAAGAAGGAATACGTTAACTAGCGAAACGACGACAGAGATAAAATCCGAACAAAATTTACTGTTCATCTAAGCGATTTTTATTACAGCTTTAAACAATATCATTCCACCGAGAAAAAAAAATGGGTTCCAATGAAGCGAGAAAAGTCAGGAAATAAAGTAATTGCATACAGCAACTTTGAACAATTTTAGGCTAAGCTTAAGCTCGAGAGAAAAAAACACTGACGATCAGAAATTCTTTGAAATTGTTAGAAATCATAAAATAACGTTGTTTATAGTTACAAAAAGGCTTCGTGCGATTTAATTTTGTTTATGCGCAATGCGCATGAATCTCATGCACTTCGAAGTTTCGTTCTCTTTCTCTATTTTTTTTTTGTTGTTGTTGTTGTTATTGTAATTCATTCGAATTTTAATAAATATTTATCGTTCGAAAATATTGTTTATTTTTTACATTTATTTTGGTCATGAAATGAACACTATAGTTGTTCGTGCTCATAATTCAATGCCGCTGTATGGTTGACAAGTGACAAAGTGGCCGTTGCTAAAGAATGTGCATAGTAAGATCGGCGGGCAATTAAATGGAAATCAATAAAAACTGTTTTGCCAAATTTTCGATTTTCAAATATCTTCGAATAAACAAATGTCTTATCTCTTCATTACTTCGATTGCATTATATACGTTTTAAAATTAAATCAACAGCACATTCGAAATGTGCGGCGTATTCGTTTTTCTATTTGCATCATTTTCGAAATGAAAACACAATCAATTGCATTTTTTCGGTATGATGATATAAGTGGATTTTTTTCATATTCTTCTTTCTTTTGGATAATAATCAACTGTTCAGTTTTATTTGTTTTTCAAGTGTACGGCTCATTGTTTCATGAGTGGTTGGAGAATAATGGTTATTACATCATTTTATAGACCATTTGAATGGAGTTCCGTTTGTGCGTTTGTCAATGGCAAACGCTTGAAAATGTCAAGCAAACTAAAATTTATGATATATTTTTACGATTTACGTTTACCACTTCGAAATTTGAGAAGCTCACACCAACCTATGACATGCCAAATGTATACACACATTATATTTGACCATTATAAAAAGGGAGCGAAAAATGAATTCAAATTTAACAATACATTTTAAGACTATGTTAACTTTGCTATGCAATAATTCAAAGGTAAAGTTTCACTCTCAAAATAGAAAAAGCGAAGCCTCGATTCCATGAAAGATAAAATGAATCGTTATCTAAATGAATTGAGATGAGCTCAATTCCAAAGCGCATCACTGATTTGCATTTATCAAATGCACCAATTATCCTTGACTTTATAGCCATCAAGTTCAAAGTTCTATACATATATATACATTGAATAATATAATTTTTGTAGTAAACAAAAATCAGATCAATGCGCGTCACCCAATTCATTTGCTAATGCTACTTGTATACAATCAATGGACTGTTTTAATACACATACATAAATGCCTCATTTTCTTTCAGTTTAAAGTGAGATGTTTCACTTTTGTGTAATGCAAACACAAACACTGTTTCCCAAACCCCAAACACACATTGTAAATTCGGTGTGTTTTTAACCGATTTTTAAACAAGCATAAGAATTGATGCTTTTTGCCCATTCGTTTATATTTACTATGAGACCGTAGTATACACGAAACACTTTTTTTTCTCGCTCCTTTTCTTTAAATATAAATGTTGTTTTGTACTTATTAAAATTGTTTATAAAATTGAAATCGAATTCGATGTAGCCAGTTGTTCGGAAAATGCGTTCGGTTTTCATGGTTTTTCCGTCTGCCATTCATGAATGTAATGTGAATACAAAAGAAAGAGAGTGGTGCTACATTTGGACTAGGATCAATATGACATGAATGCATGAGAAAACGAGATAATCGCAAGAATATAATTGGCTCAAGTGTAATACACATTCATTCTTGATTTGTATACTATTTTGTATACAAAATAATGCAATAGCTTACGTAAAGCCTGTAAATTGGCCATATATTTCAAGAGAATTTATACACACAGAAAGAAAATTGGTGGAAGAATGAGGAAAAAAGATAGAGAACAAAGCAAAATTGAGATAACAATATCAACATAAAAATCTGCATTCAAAACAAAATGTGGTAGACATTATGTCTAGCGCAAAATTGTATAAATATTTTCTTCATCATCATCACCGCCACCACCACCAAAGTATTTCATTCAACATTTTTTTTCCTGCGTCTCCTCTCTCTCTCTCTCTCATTCAGTTTCTTTTTCACATTTCTTATGTTTATGAAAATCCCTAATATTTACGTTTAGATCTTAAGAGCATCGATCGATTTTGTTTTTTTTTTAAATTCGTAATTATGTTTATATCTGACAACAGCGTCGACAACACGCAACAAACACATACCAAATAAAACCAATGCACATTGAATTCGATTTTAACAACAAATTTCCACAAAACATAAACATTTGGTCTAATTAAAATGCCTTGATACTCAATTCATTTATGAATGTGCATAACCTACCCAAAGAATATCCGTGTGAAGGATATTTTTTTATTCAAGATTTGTGAACTGGCCACTGATGCCATAATCAAGTCAAGTGAAAAAAGACTTCAAAGCAATTTGAATAAAAATTCAAACGTTTTCTTGTACTCTTTACGCACAAAACTAATATCCATGACTTGGGAAAAACAAATGTCACTTTTGCACATTCTCAAAAAAGTCAAAGAGAGACACAAAAAAACGGTCAAACATTTGTTGGGAATGTGAAATTCCTTGAAATCTTTCCACTTTTTTTTTGCTTAAATAAGTAAGAATCAAAGTATATTCGACCCAAACCAGTGAAAAAAATACAATATCATATTGGAGTTAGTACATACTTTTGATTTTCGTCTCCAATCTATAGTTTTCATCCCGAGACTTGCTGATGTTTACAATTCCAATTGTACACAAATCATTTGATTTTTTACAGAATAGAAACTTTTTATCACAATCATGTCTTACTTTACAACCGGATAAAGTGGATACTTATCGAATAACTAATAAAAATGATTATTTTATGGGATTTTTGCAGAAAATGTTTCTGCCTGTCATAGCTTCAAAATATGATCAAATTGCATTTTGGCATGTAGTTATATATATAAAATAACTAGGAGTATTCCTCACCAAGGCACATCAAATCAAGTTGCTAGCAAATAAATTAACAAACCTTCGCATGAAACTTAAACGTGAACGAACCAATAGAATAATGACTCCGCCCAATCATAAACGTTTTCAATTCGCACAGACGTATTTAGCTTCTAAATCCTCACCGTCAGCCACCAACGTTCAGCGTAAATCGCACTTGATTATTGCGATCTACATATTAAAATGGTATAAATCACAGTAAGTGATCGCAATAAATATGGCCATTAATTAAACATCAACAAAACATTTGCAACGTATACATATGCTCAAGATCTTAAGGATCTTCGTATCTAAGGTATTTTTGAGCGAAAAAAAAAAGAATACGGTTACGTAAAATTTGATTAAATGAATTGCAATAAACCGGCATTCTAAGGGGCTGATTTGTATTTGCATTGAATAGAACTGATTGAATGCTTTGAAAAAAAAAGAGATAGAATCGGCTGGAAGAAAGAGATAAATTCATTCACATGTGCGCATTAAAGTAAACAACCAATCAGTGGTCTCACAATCGTTCGCAAGCCAGTTGGATCAAATCACATTGAGAGAATACGTGCACCGTATTCCTTTTGCTTACGATTTTCGTCTTTCGATGTAGTGTGCACAACTTAGCGGAGCTCAGCACTGAACGTGAATAGAGATCATATAATATTCTATTTGGAGAACGACTCCTGATCAGTTTGCACCGCGACTCTCGAGAGTCAACATCGGAGAGCATTTTTGTTCTCATGTCATTTCATAAGTCATAAAGTCATTGCAAAAACATATTTGAAAATTGAATCTTTCAATCAAGTGTTAAGTACATGGAATATACACACATTTTAATTGATAAACATCGAGTGTAAACATTATTTACTTTTAATAAAAATAAAGCTATTCGCTGAATTGAAAAAAAAAATTCTACCCACTATTTTTTTCGAGTGTTTCATTTCGATAATTTAAAATCTTCAGGAATCTTAACGACTATTATTTGGAAATAAGTCATCTTTGTGAAACAATAAGATATAAAATGATAAAGACACAACAAAATTTTATGTCAATTCGTGAAATGGCCACAAGCTATGAACCGCCGCCAAACCACAACGAACACGATGTGAAGCCCATTTTTGTGACTGATTATTATGGTGAAGATCTCGATCGGGTGCACATGGATGTTGATATAAAACCGCAAATGCCAAACTATCAGTACGCGGACGAAATGCATTTTAAGCAAGAAAACAATGTGATTCGATATCCACCTTATATCAATCCAAAATATATTGTACAACCGGGCCCGTTTGAAAATAAATACCCTGTGTCCGCATGTTTGCCGCCACCAATTACAACACAAACAATACAATCGATGCCAACATCAACGATTCGATACAGTGGCGCATTGGAGCAAAAATTTACCACCACGAATTTAACACAGTCCGTTCCTGTTCCACAAATTAATAGTGGTCATAGTACAGCATTGCGATCGCCAACAACAATGGATTCAACAATATTGGTGTCAACCACAACAGTTTCGAAAGGTTCAAATTCTGGTTCGAATACATCCACAGCAACGACAAATACAAAAAATGAAACAAAAAAAGGTGCCCGACGACCTGAAAAACCACCAATCAGTTACATCAATTTAATTGCCAAGGCAATTCGATCATCACCAAAGAATCAACTCACCCTCAACGAAATTTACCAGTTCTTACAAAATGAGTAAGTGGAGAAAAAAAAACACAACAATTCTTTTAATATTATCGATTGAAAACTATCTTTCAAATAGTGAATACTGCCTTTATTGCCGGTCACTGAAGAATAAATAAAGACCATTCGATCATCATGTGCTCAAACCAAAAAAAATAGCTTGAATGATTGTTTTTTGTGATTGTATGCCAGAAGTTCTATAAAATAATTCATTTTAAAGATGAAATAATTGCTATAACTTCAAAAAATTCAATTTTTATAAAAAAAATTAAGTTCGGCCCGAATAATTTACTTTTTATTTGAGTTCTCTGATAAAATCAATTCGTTTTCCTTTTCTATTGCATGAATATATTTAATTTCAGCATTTATAGAATGTAGAATATTTCCACGTAAGAAATGCTATATTTATTAATAAAGAATATCGATTATTTGCTATAATATTTGAATTAAAAGGACTATCCACGGTGAAAATATCTTAATTTAGTAGTAATTCCATTCTAATTTGAGATCAAAATGACTCAATCAATATTAGCACATTTTTGGCGACTATCTTCAATTCTGAGAGTTTTTAATCATTTTAAATTAATTGAAATTTTATTCGTCTTCAGCCAAATTACCTGACTGACTATAAACCGACTAAAGTTGATTGATTTCCATAGAAGTTCACATAGTCCACCATTCAGTCAAGACATGAGATTATTATTACGGGTATACAAATTGCGACGGAGTGTGCTGTGTACATATTAAATTAATGTTTCTCTGTTCATTTTCACACGGGGACAAAACAATATACAACATAAATCAAATTGGAAAATGTAATATTTTTTTTTTTTTTTTTTTTAATTTCTTTTAACTCCTAGTGGAGCATAGGGCCTTGAGATAAGAATTCTTTATCTTTCTGGTTTCTGTTGATCAATTAATTTAGATAAAATGTAATATAACCACTGATAAAATGTTGTAAATTTCAGTTCACAGTTGACAAACTCTTACTTCAATGCAGTTACTGAGTCTTACATTCAAAATATCTGTCAAATTTTCTTTCACTTGTTCATTTTTCAAAATGCAAAGTCAAAACAGTCATTCTGTAATCTTAAGCAATGCGACACATTATACGAACAGTTGTCCTCATTTATCTGGATAAAAAGGATCTCTGAAATTAACTGTATGAAGGCTGATTTTTGTGTATGTTTATGTAATGCAATGAAGCAAAGGTCATAAAAAGATGCAATTTCAAATGTTTAGAAGAACGTACCCAAAAGAATAACTGCTTCCGAATTCAAATGATAAAAAATTGTTTTGCACCAATTTTGGAATTAGTTTACTAACTAACGTCAACTTGTTTAAATCATCGTTCGTCCCACCGTGTTTGCATCGCTTCAATTGCATCATCTTTTCGATAAAACCAAAGTGTAATTTAATACATTTTCTTATCTCCAATATGTATGCCTTACGCTTGTGCGAATCTTAATAAACAATTTCATATGATATGCATGTAAAGAATGCAACGACTCTTTCATCTATGCTTTCTTCATTTGCATTCTGTGATGTCATAAATGAGAGAAAAGCAAAATAATAAAATCACACCGAATATAAAATATGCGATGTGAATAGAAAAATCATAGATAAAAAACGATGTTTATGTGTGAATAACAAAATATTTTGTATTACTTTTGCAGACATTCCTTCTTCCGCAGCGATTACGTTGGATGGAAGAATTCAGTGCGTCATAATTTATCGCTGAATGAATGCTTTTTAAAAGTCAACAAAGTAAGTACATCAACCGTAAATTTCAATCGACATATTTTTAATTGGTTTTTTCGTCCTCTTCCTCCCTCTCTTTTTTTGTTGTTTAATAGGACCAAAATAGTGGAATGGGGAAATCTGGTAAAGGCCACTTTTGGACAATCGATCCGAAATCAAATCACGAATTTCAAGAAGAAGGAAGCTTACGTCGACGCACTCGTGGTTTTCGTCGGCGCCAACAAAACACAAAACCATATTCCCAATCCTACAGCCATTATCCTGTATATGGCGACTCTTTTGCTACTCACACGCGATCTGATGATCGAAATGAATATTCGGTAAGTATTTTTTTTTAACCAAACTTACTTAAAGCGACTTTGTATTGCAAAGAAGTTATACGTTCTAAAAGTTAAGAGATTACCAGAAATCAAGCTGAAAATTGCAATGATCATGTCAATTACGTGCACAAAATGCATCCAACACAAAAAAATGTATTAAAAAAGTGTTTCTATACTATTCACGTGAATTCACAAAAATGCTTAAACTTTCTTCAATTTTTATGGTCGTAGAATACAAGCTACTATCCCGATCAATACACACCGTATCATCCCACAACATATTCAACGCATGCGGCTGACACCTATGCTTATCATCCTTCTGACGCCACCGGAGCTGGAATTCATAATTTGCCCGCTCCTCGATACGCATTCGATCCAGGTTTGTATTGATATAACATCAATAATGCAACTCCATTATAAATGTCCAAAATTCAATCTGTAAAGGGGGCTATGGGTCTATTGATTGTATTTATACCCCAACTGTTTCCATTTTCGAAGAAAAAAAAACATTAGAAATTTAATAGCGTTTAAAAAATCAGAAAAATTTTTGTGCTCATGTTAAAGCTATTGCTCATTGTATGTGTGACTATTTAATGACACCAATTGACATTGCAAATGCAAATAAATTTGATTTTCTTTTTTTTTGTTTATTTCAATCAGCATTTTCTCCGGCAGCACCGATTCCGAGCAACGTAATTTACGATCAAAAGTATATTACCACACCTTTGTACAACGAAAGTGCTAAATATCCAAATTAATGCAATCGACCAAAAATTAGAAGAATAAGTTTATAAAAGAAATTAGCAAATTAAGGATCTTGAATCAGGTCGCGATGAACCAATAAAACAAACTGAATCAACGATAATTCATACATAAAATCCTCAAAGAAATTTTATACCAAAAGCAACGCACAATTAAGTATCATAATAAATATGTTAAGGTCAATCAAAATGAAAACCAAAAAGTAGCCATTCGAAACCACATTTTTTTACAAATAAAATTGAATGAAAAAAAAAGATTGAAATGCATTGTTTTTGTTGATAAACCTTTCAATATTATGATAATATTTATTTTAAATACAAAAATAAGGACATTGGGCGGCGAATAGATGAACTTCGATGCGATTGCCCGATGTGAAATGAAATATGAAAATGTGTTTCTCAAAGCGAATTCCAATTGCATGGAAAAATATGTATTCAGATGGCGTTGGTGGTAAGTAATCCGGTTGATATTTCATATGGCAAATACAGTTCATATGGTTAACGGTTGAGGTCGCTCTTTATCGATGTGGCTGAAATTTTGTTCGCATTTTTTTTACGAAGCAAAAAGATAATCGTGAGTTTAATTCTGCTGTCGAACCAGCAAAAAGTGAATCTATTTGTATTAAGAGCAAACGATAAACATTTTTTTTTTTGTAAATTTGAGCTCTTTACATTACGCGAATGCTAATAAAAATGGTCATAAAGGACTTGCAATGTCCATATTAACGTGCCATGGATCAAAGTAATTTGGTGAGTGAAACACACATTTGATATTTTTGTTTTTCCATCTTTTTTTTTTGGTCGACGACAAGACAGAGAAAGAGAAAAAAATAGAAGAATTCTACATGCCGAACACACAAATATCACATTGACTCATTGAATTACACACTTCTATTTCGATGTCATTTAAAGCGAATTCTATCGCCCATAAATTATATATACATATACGATATATAAGTAGAAAGAGACATGCACAGAGAGAAAAAAATATTCCGAAAAAAAATCGAAAAGCGGACTTTAGCAACCAATTTATGTTTGATATTGAAGCGTAGAGAAAATGTAAAAAAGAGGGAACAAAATGAGAACGAAGCCACCTTAGCTTGAATCTGTGAATATTGCGATTTTCAAAACGAAACACATCGAATTCAAAGTGAAAAATTATTACTATTGGGTTAAATGCAATGCAATTTATGGTTTGGATCAATCAACAAAACTAACTAAAAAAGAGGAATCAGTAACATAGTGAATTACGATGTACGGCAGAACCCACTGCCGATCAATTGCATACAAAGTGTTCATGCAATGAATTTAATTCAATGAATTTTTTTTTGTTATTTGTATTGAACAAGAGAGGAAAAAAGCACATTTTTTGTCATTTTTGGAACCGTCATCCGAAACACCACATTAAAATCAACTTGTATGTGGTGTGAGCGAGTGAGTGAGTGAATGAGTGTGTATTTGCCTACTTTGTGCCTGTGTGTATGTGTTCAACTTCAAAATCACATCATTACCGATTTTCGATGATAATTTTTTTTTTTTTTTCGAAAAAATCTTATCCGTGATTTTGTTGTTGTTGTTTGTTATTTTTTCGTTTGAACATAGTGCAACGTGATATGTGATTTTAAAAGAAAAATTAAACTTTTATTGTTGATGTAGAGAGTGGCTAAATGATTAATAGAAATAATATGGATGACAATTAGAAATGAGCACGTCTGTTTTGTGTGACGGTATGCGTGAAAGTATGTGATGTGCGTGTGCGTTTGTATAAAATCTATGTATATTAAATGCCAACATTCGACTTAACAAGTCGAAAGACTTGATTTATTACAGATATTATATATATATTCATTTTTTTCTTGATGTTGTTGTTGTTATTGTTGTTGTTGCTGCTGTCTTGTATATTTAAAGTAGAAGAGAGTGAGAGAGATGAACTTCGTAATGTGTGTGTATGCATATGCGTGAATCAGTGAATTCGTGTTCTTCAATTCTTTGATTCGTTCTTCTTAGCCGTACGGTCGTGAAACCAATTGGATGGTGTGAGTGCATGCCATTGCTTAAGCCCGAACACGTATTTGACTATATGCACGATTGTGTGCGTGTGTATGTCTTTGACGACTTTTTTCCTTCTTCTGTTCAAAACCAAAAACAACAACAACAACAACAAAAAACGAATTTAATTATAGTATATATTTGATTTTCTCGTTCGGTTAGTGTCACAGTGTTGTTTTGTACTGTGTATTGCTTTATTCCATTTTTTTTATGTGTATGATTATTTTGCAAATCATCATCGTGTTGACACAAGCAACCCAAACACACTTCATATAATTTATAAAAATGCATGGTGCAGTCAAGTAAACAGTGGCCGAAGACAATTGAAGAACTAGAAAATTGAATTGAAAAAGAAAATAAAAAAAAACAACGCACACATTAAACCGATTCAATCGCCAAGACCTTTCGATCCGGAATCGAATCAGTTTACATCGAAATTACCAGATACGATCGTCATTTTATGATCGTCATTATTTCAATAGAATTTAAAATGTGTTGACGTTTTAGTGGTTCAGAGAAAGGGAGAGAGTGAGTTAAAGAAAAGACAAAAAAAGTGCTGAATTATCTTTGATAGATTGTTAAATGTGAAACTCAGACGAACAGCTTGATGTTATGGCTTATTAAAAATTATTAGAGAAAATCGGATGTCAATTGTTTTTTTTTGTAAGTGTAAACTTTAAACGAATATCAAATTAACAAGTCTTTAACGATTGTGATTAAATGGTAACGTAAGAAAATGTCCCGTCATAATGAAATGCATGAAATACCGAAGACAAACATGATGATGACAAGCATTGCTAGTTGATACATTTTTCTCTGTATCCATATGATAATATTGTGCGTGCAATAAGTAACAGTGCCGTTTTTCTATTTCGTCTTGGTTCTTTTTCTTATACGTTCTCGAACTTTTGGGTAATAATATTTTTCGAATTGTCGACATGACATGCACGGACACATATGCACGAGTACATCGAGGCGCATACACATACAGTCGTTCGTAAACGTCATAAGGTGGGCGTTTAGCGGTTGCGGCTTTCGTACTACACGTACTCTCAAACAGCCGTATGAGCATGACAAATTTTTAGGTTAGAATTTCGTCCGTATTCCCTACAATGATCTCATTCATTAAAATTTGTGTTTATATCGATAAAAACCAGACATTTATTTTTAAATTGTCGCATATTTGTCTGTCGCTTCGTTATCGTTGCAAAACGTTCATTTTATAAATGAATTTATTTCCTCCAAATATCGATGATTTATTTGTATTCGATTTCTGTATGAAATGAAAATGTGACACCACATGCTCTAGCATAATATTTATCAATGCGTTCGCTGTGTCAAATATCGGAACAGTGTGCGCACCATCACACACTGCCAAACCAAATTGACACAATCTTACTGCTGTATACTTAACCATTTACCTTTGTATGTTTAAAATGTCATTTAACAATTCCGTATCAAAGTACAAAATTGATTCTCAAATAAATGCCCGATGTCTTTTATTTTTGTCTTGTTAGGAATGTTGCATGCAACTCATGTCTCAAGCCTTCTTATCGAAGAACTTTCGACTTTGATTTTCTATTCGAAATCCCATTCATTTATACCATTTAAAAGTTATCTCATTCGACATATGACATATTTCATCTTCACCAAAATCATATTGACCATCCGCATAAAATACTTTCATTTGCTTTGGTAACATGTTGTTTCATAGCAATTATGTTCCAATTTCGTCCATTTCGACTATTCTATAAACAATATGGAATCGATAATCTAAGAACTATCGTTCCTAAAAGACATGTGTCTTTATTTCGTTTTATCGTTTGAAACAAAAAAAATCGTGAACTTTCAATACGAAAAAGGTCATTCGCACTATACATATAAAGGAAAAAAAAATCGTTATTACACATATTCTTATATATTTGTGTCATTTATTGACGTAGTTGATTGTGAAAATGATCTGTTAAATACATATATTTTATTGATGTGACGTCTGAATAATCGCATTTGACACACAGACCACGTTCCCATTTTCTTTGTTTTCATGCAAATCGTGCCACGCACAGTGATTTTCTCGAGATTTTCTTGCTGCAAAATGAATAATCATGAATATGCGATTTTTTTCTGCTTTTAAAATAGAATCTTCATTTGACATGGAAGCATATTTTAGTTTAATGATATGGTTTCATCATAGAAATTTTCGGAGCTATTGAAATTTTTGATCGTCTTTTTATATTATTATTCGCACCAACAAAAAAAAAAGAGGAATAATTAGCATTCAATGTTTGAAGAAATGATTAATGCATTCACAACATACGCACTCCAATTGATTATAAGTAGTAAAATCATCGATTGATTGATTCATAAAAGAAGACACTAGAATCGAGATATCTTATCGTTTATTATTGAATGAAAGAGAAAGCATCTTATGAATTCGATCTCAAAAGTGATTGCACTATTGCACACTCAAAGTCTTTTCGATGGAAAATCACAAAGCTCTCGCATAGTTGTTGATTTTAGTTACAATCCATTTTTCATCTCTTTCCACATATGCGTGTGTATAAAAAAAAATGCCATAATGAGAAAATGTTTAGCGAGAAATGATCAACGGCATACATCGTAGTGAAAAAATATATAAATTTATATAAAAGAGTATGTTGTGTGTATGAGAGAAAAGAAGAAACCCAATAACAACACGAACAAAATATATATATATACGAATAATCAAAACTGTCGGTTGCTTGTAGTAGCTTTATTATCGGACAATTCGAACTCGAGATATAGCGTTTTCTTTGCAGGGCTTTTCTGCGAAAAATGAATACGAGTTCTTAGATCTTTCTGATGTTGACGATATTGAAAGAACACGGTTGTCATCAGCTTTGTTGCATAAACAACAACAAAAGCAGCAACAGAAGCATCAGCAACAACTGCAACCATTCGATAAGCATGACCGAGCTTCATTGATAAAGCATGATGATGCTGCAGATGTTCAATCACGTATTAGTCAATCCACCACTTCTACGGATAGTGAATGTCAAATAGTTTTAAACGACAACTGCAACATTCAATCAAATTTATGTTCTATTAATTCGACCCATAATGCGACCTCTGGTAAGCATTCAATGTAAAATTTAAAACGAAATCAAATCAAAACCAAAACCAAAAAAAAAAAACAATCTTATAGTTCAATAATCAACATCGTCTAAATAAGACAGTTTTATTTATACCAAAAATTATAAACAATCAGTTTACAAACAAATTAAAACGAAAAATACACAAACCCAAACACACATACACACACACAAAACAATCGGCCACACAAATTTCATCAGCAAGACTTATTATTTTAATTCCATATTTTCTTTATTTTCTCATCTTTTCGAAATACGTGTGTGTTGCAGTTTTTTTTCTATTTGTTCCAATCAATGCAAACGCATTCCATTCTTTAAACTCAAACCAATCTGTTGAGATCGAACAGCTTACTTATTTCTTTTTTTATTAATTCTTTTTCTCTTGATTTAAGTTTTTTGTTTTTACTTAATTTTTTATTCTTATGTACAATTTTTATTTTTCAATTCATACATTAACCAAACGCTCTCTTACACTGAAATCTCAATTGATTTTAAATTTGAACTAATATAAAAAGTGTAAAAACAAAATTGAAGTTGAATTTATTCGAATTGATCATTTAGTTTTTTTTTATTTCTTTTTCAATATGTTTAGTTGTTGCTTTTTGTTGCACAAAAAAAATCTAATCCATTATGTTGAAAAATCTGCAAATGAAAGACTTTACCAAAAATATGGAGGTGGCAAATACAAACACCATCCTCTATTGTCAATTTCATTTTAATATTGGCAATCTCGAAAAATGGAATGATCTTTCATTGTTATATTCTCCTTTTGTTTGAAGAAAATCGTAGATTTTATTTTCAAAGAAAAAAATGCGCTATACGAAATGACACATTAGTTTTGATTATTTTGTTTTTCCATCTTAATACACATTCAAAGTATTCACATTTGAAATAAGATATCAGCTCAAGTTTGTTTTCCATCATATTGTTACAATTATCATTTAAACATAAACATTTTGGCATAACTTAAATTTCAATATGTGTTTTCCATATTGTTTTAATTTTTTCAACACTTTTCTTTTCTGCTCATTTTTTTCTCATTTTCAATTTCATTCATTTAAAAAAACACGGATGTTGTTGACATTTAAACGCATTTAATTCTTACTACTATGCACAGTTGAACTTTGATTCTGTTTTTTTCTAAAATAAAGAAATTATTTGGAATTAATGTTGTATGTTACAGTAACAAACAGTAATCCGGCGGAAACGAAGCAAATTTTCCGGCTTTCATATAAAAAACTGTCGAAACAAAATCAGTCGAAAAAGGAACAAATGCCGAAGATGTCGCCGCACGTAAATTCACAGGAAGATTTAACGTCCCCACAACAGCAACAGCAACAACAACAACAAGCGCAAAATACACCGAATCAACAGGTGCAGCAGCAGCAAACACAGCTGCCGGTGCAATCGGGAAATAATCAATCGACGCCATCACAGTCTGCGCAACAACCCCAAAACACACGTAAGTATCATCATCCATCGAGAAGATTACACAATACCACTTTCGATTATCGTTTTTGGTTTTTTCGCATTTATGTTAACTGCAGAAAACTTAAAATTCAATTTTCTTAATTTTGTTTTTTTTTTTTAATTTGTTTTATTGCAGAACCAACACCTCACTCACAAAATCAAACCCAGCCGATACAGCAAACACTTCCTCCACAATCAAACCATCCAACTAATAACTGTAAGCATTTTAATCAATTTTCAACCAATGTTATTGTCAATAATGATTCACATACTAATCAATATCAATTTGATCGCATTCTTTCGATAGCTGCTAGTAACATTCCTTCCCATAATGTTCAATCACATATTTATCCACAATCACAACCGCAATTCATGCAGAATTATTTACCTCATGTGGGCCCAGCTGGTAATCTTTATCACTTCACACCGTACATACCGAGTGTACATTTCAGCCATTTCACCGCCAACGTAAATGTGCATGGATATACGCAAGCGATGCAACCACCATTTTTACCAGCCAATTATATACCAGATAATCATCAAAGCGGCGTCGAACAGGTAAAGCATCTTGATCCATTTTCGCAAATAAATGCGTTTTTATCTTTATTTCTTGTTTAAAGTCCACTCATCCGATCCAAACACAGCCGCATTATCAACGGCCACGCCGTGGTGGAAGAAGAGGTGGTAACAATGGCGGTTACACACGACGCGAATTCACATCGCGACAAATAAACTCGGTTCAGGAAATTAATTCCGCACAAACGCCAACACATGGAATTGACTCGCCAGCAATGATGCAACAATCATCGAATTTTGCTCCGTATTATGTTGAACCATATTTGGGACTTTATCCAAATCAATTTGCCATCGGACATCATTCGACCACTGCCGCTCAACATGCAACCGGTACTCCATTGTATGGCTATAGTTATCCATATCATCCGGTTATTTATCCGGCTGCCGTAATGCCCCTCGATTATGTTGTAGATGAAAAATCGGATGATGGAATGGGCGTAAGTATTAATATTTTCAATGCAAATACATACCACACACTCATACAACAAATATTTTCAGCAGGAACAACTATTGGAGTATTCTCAGGGACAAGTTGATTCACAAGTGCATCAACCTGTTGAAGAGTATTTATCAAATCAACCGCAGGCATTACCTCCCCAAAATGACTTTAGTACTCAACAAACAAATGAAGAATTTGTGATGCGGCAACCGAATGAATTCATTCCTCAAAAGCATCAGCAACACCATCACCAACACCACCACCAACAGCAACAACAACATCAACAACAGCTACAACCAAATGAATTTATCGGTAATTTAGCAATCAATCTTAATGCCAACATTTGAATAAAATAAACTAATCGAAATATTTATTTATTTATGCGCCGGTTTATTCAAAATAAAACAGTAGTCGATCATCATTCACCGCATTTGAATGAATTTGTGGCACCACCTCAGGAACAAAATATGCACCATCAACAACATCAGCATACAATGATAGAACCAGAAACAATTAACGAAATTCCTAATCAAAACGACATTAAACAGGTAAATTTATCGTTTATTTTTTTCGGTGCTGCAATCAAATCAAAAAATCATTGACTTCGACGATTTTCTTCATGGTTTTTTTTTGTGTTACAGCAGCCCGAGCATTCAATTCAATCGCACATCATCAATCGAGATAGCAATCGAAATAATGAACAAATGTTTGAAAATGCTCAAGCGCCTAGTTTTGCAAATATTCTAAATGATTCGCATACAATGATTGAAACGTCGTCATCGCCATCGCCCATCGTTGTACCCAATGATATCAAGAATGTATTGAATAATTCAGTGCCAAAAAATCAACAAACCATTATGTTACAGCCATTGGTTGACACAAATGAAAATAACATACCGAACACAATTGGTGATGGACAACTACCACCACCATTATCATCAACAGCAACGACAACGACACCAGCATCATCATCACAACAAATGCAAACCCAATCGAAACCAATGGGACCAGTGAATGGTCCGATCAATGGTATTGTACAGGCAATGAATGAGAAATTAGTTGTGCGCACCAATAGCAAAGCTCAACAAACACCAACGACGGCATGGAACATAAAAAAGAGCACACAATCGGTTGCCGTTTCAGTTGTACCGTCAAATAATTACTCTCACAACGAAATGAATGCGACAAAGCAACATGTTTTAGGTAGTAACAATAGTAGTAGCTGTAATAACAATAACAATATACCGATAGTGCCAAAACTAGATGAACAACATCAACAACAAAGCTCAAAGGTGAATGTCACAGCTGCAACCGAAAAATCGATTCAATCAAATCAAGATATCACAACTACGCAACAATCATCCGAAACGCAAACAATTCCCGTTACGGACATGCAAACAGATGAGCCATCAATATTTGCCAACAACAACAACAATGTTAGGTAATGATATCATCAATGCTTTTACTCAGCATCTGTTTCTGTTTGTACTTTTTTTTTAACAATGAAAAATAAAAAAATAAAATCATTTAATTTCACAAATCAATTTACAGCAGTCGTGGTGAAACAGCTAAACCTCCAGCATCCACACAAATATCATGGGCATCACTGTTTTCTTCATCATCAAGTTCGGATTCACAGAAAAAACCAACCGCTAAAGTACCACCATACAATTCAAGTCAAGAACCAAAATCAAATAATCCACCACTTCGAACAACATCATCTGCAACCGCCACCACTAACACAAATGCACCAGGTAATATTCGAACTATCTCATAAAATGGAAAAAAATTGACGAAATAATTTCATAAAAAAATGTTCTCAGAAAAAAGTATGTCTTATTCATCGGCGGCATCGTCATCTGCCAACGGAACCAAACGACCTGCACCAACCAAAGTACGTGTAGCACCATTAGCAAAACAGCCACAAAATAGCTCAGAACCAACCAATGATGAATCATCATATAGATTAGGAGGTACATTACACATTTTTACCACTTACAATAATTTCGATTTTAAAATAAAATGTCACATGGAGTCAGCAAATTACACTAAATGCCATGTTGTAATCAGCGTTACACCTGTGACAGATTAATTTTAAGCCATATTTGTAATACTTGTGAAACTGTTCTAGTGAGCAAGATCAATTGCAAGGCTTTTAAACGATTTTTCTCGAGAGTTGATTTCGAATCACATTCCAAATTGGAATTTGTGCTCCATTTCGAAAATCATAGTTGAGAAATCGACAAATTCTTTTATTTTAATTAATTCAATTTAAAATTATTATATCACATGGAGTCAGCAAGTTATTGACTTTTTTCAATAGAATAATTAGCGTTACACCTGTGATAGAGAAATGCAAACCTTATTATGACATTTTGTTTTGTAGCACTGTTCTAGTGTTCGTTTACATAAAGTCAAGGTTTAAACGTTTTTTCTCGAGAGTTGATTTTTATGCGCGACCTCAGAATCGTGTTCGATATTCAAAATCATAGTTGAAGAAACGACAATCACATGATCATTAAGCGCATCCGTTCAAAATATCGATGGGTAAGCAGGTCACATGGAGTCAGCAAGTTATTGATCTTTTCAATGAAATAATTAGCGTTACACCTGTGATAGAAAAATGTAAACCTTATCATATGACAATATGTATTATGGTACTGTTCTAGTGCTCAATCGCATTTGTTGAAGGTTTATTCGTTTTTTCTCGAGAGTTGATTTGCATCTGCGTTGAAACATACGTGATTGATATCCAAAATCTTAGTTGAGAAAACGACACCATATTCCAGCTCTATTTCCAATTATTTTAAGTTTTATGAATAAGTAATGCTAAAACGTATGTGCCATCATATTAATATTATCGTTTTCTTTCTCTTTTGTTTCGTTGATTCAATGCGTAGATTTTATGTTAAAATACAAAGTCGACAATAACTCAATTAGTCTACGACCGCGTGGTTTAACAAATCGGTCAAATTATTGTTATATCAATGCGATATTGCAAGCCCTTTTGGCATGTCCGCCATTTTATAATCTTATGAAGTCAATACCATTGGATGCGCCCGTATTTCGTTTCAAAACAAATACACCAACAATTGATGCCGTTGTCGAATTGGTGCGTGAATTTTCAAATTTGCCAAATGGTTCGCGATTACATCGACGTGACAAAGGCGGAAATAAAAAGGAAGATGTTACATTTGAACTGGTCTGCGACCAATCAATCGAACCAACAGCAATACATAAACTTTGGAATAGCACACGGAACGATAACGAAGGTCGACAAGAAGACGCCGAAGAATTCTTAGGATATGTTCTAAATAAATTGAATGATGAAATGCTTGAGGTAAATTCTGAAATGAAAAACACATACACATTTCAATATTATCAATGGCATATATTTTCGTTTTGTGTAGTTGAAAAAGTTGGTTGAGAAACCAGCCGAACCAGTGCCCAATGGGATGGAAAATGGTGATGGTGCTGATGATGAAGGAAATGAATGGCAGGTAAGATTGTGTTCACACTTTTTTATTACACTCAGTTGTGGTGTCTTCGAAGGTGCTTTTTCTAAATCAAAAATTGAAACGTTTAATTTCAGTTAATCGGAACAAGAAACAAAGGCACTGTCACAAGATCAACTGATTTTGGTCGAACGCCTGTCAGTGATATTTTCCGCGGTGAACTAAGATCACGCTTGCAACGTGAAGGTGATCATTCCACCGATGTTATGCAGCCATTCTTTACACTTCAATTGAATATTGAGGTTAGTTTTCGAAAAAAACACGTTTTTTTTTTCATCGACTTGAAATAAAATACTAATAAAATTGTTCATGCTTTTTTCATTATTTTGTATGCAGAAAGCCAATTCAGTGAAAGAGGCATTAGAGAATTTCGTAAATAAGGACCAATTAGAGGGAGTCACTTGCACCAAAACAAATTTAGAGGTGAATGCTTGGCAGCAAATGACTTTGGAAAAATTGCCGATTGTATTGATACTCCATTTAAAATGGTTTGATTATAAAGGCGACGTTTGTACAAAAATACTTAAGACTGTTGATTTTCCCATTGAATTAAAATTGGATCCAAGTAAGTTATTCTTTTTTTTTCTCTATAAATTTTTGTGTTTTTTTTTCGTCTTTTTTTTTAATTGTAAAATGATTTAAATAACACCAACTACAACAACAAAAACATTAATGATGTTCGATGTTCGTGTTACAGAAATCCTTTCGTCGAAGAAATACAATGCGAAGCAAAGGCAATATCGATTATTTGCGATTGTATATCATGATGGTAAGGAGGCGTCCAAAGGTCATTACATAACCGATGTTTATCATACTGGGTACTTAAATTGGATTCGATATGATGATAGCACTGTGAAGCGTGTCAGTGAGAAGAGTGTATTGCATCCGCATGGTACACGCGTACCATATTTATTATACTATCAACGAATCGATACGATTCCAGCACCGGCCAATGCAAATACAAATGCCAACAGCAATGCCCATGCACATAAATAAGTAAATTGCTAGCCAATTTAAGGTGTAGTTTTATGAATAGAGTTCAAGAGGGGTGTGCTTACGCATGTGTATGCATGGGTGATAGTATAATATCAAGCACACTACCGTTTCTTTTGTTTCGACGTTCGCAGAATTCGGGCCGGTTTTATTTCAATTTTGATTGTGACTGTGACTACTAAGAAATGAAGAAAATGATATCCATACTAAATGTTCGAGAGAATCTTTTTAATTAAAAAAAAAAAACAAAAAAACAAAAATCCAAGTCAAAAATTTTATTCAAAAGTTTAAGAGGAAGAGAGAGAGAATGAAACGGAAACGATACAAATTCAAGCAAGAATTGTATTCGTGCAAGTGTAGATTACACGTTAATCATGTTTAGTCTTGTTCTTAATTATCATTATTTTTTTTTAATTATTATTATTATTATTTCTTTTGTAAGATAAAATATTATATTGGAAGTATTTGATTCTTTTTTTTATCCACAAAATTTGAATTCTCATTCTACAAATACAGAATGTGATTGACCCATTGTTGAAAGAGGAAGCAAGAAACAAAATAATTGATGATAATTTAATGTAAAAATATAACAAAAATGAGTAATTGCGCCGTTTTTCTAAAAACATCGGAAATAATTGATCGAATGTATTTTAGAGTAGGTGATATCAATGGCAGCAGCAACTGAACTTGATGAACCAAGCATAACTGGATTTCAGCTGAGCACACAGATCAAAGCTTAAAACAATAACAAAACAAAAATAAAACTAACGATTAATTAAAAAAATAAAAACTTTGTTATCACAAATTTAAGAAGAAACAAAAAAAAAAACCTAACAAATATGTAAATTCGCAAATTATGAAGAAAAAAAAACACACACACACATACACCTAAAGACATAAACTGAAATGTAATTTTATTATAATTATTATTTTCATCAGAAATGTGGATGGACTAATTAATATATAGTTTATAAAACATTAGTTGTTATTTATATGAAAATTCTGAAAAGAAAAAAAAAATGATAAGATTTTGTTTTTGACACTAAAAAAAAAGTAGAACGATAAATTGTAAATGTTTAAGTGAAACTATTAGGAAGTAGAACTATTAAGAACCGCGCATCGGCTGAACAAGCTATGCAAATACATGTGAAAACAAAATTGAAAAGAAAACAATGGAAACCAATTGAAATCATGGTTATTAACCAATTTCGAACTTTTTTTTAATTATTGAAAAAATGAGTTTTTTGTAGTCCTTTTTTTTCACAAGACGGTAATATTAAACAAAATTGGATAATTTAAATACAAAAAAAAAAAAACAAATATTATATTTTTACGATCTAATTTAAGGCATACAAAATAAACAACGGAATATATTAAATATTCGAACACCGAGCATACAGAGAGCCTAAATGCTTTTCTAAGAAAAACAAACAAAAAAAAAACACTTTTATTTTTTAAACATTGTCTTCACAGAGCATGAATTAAACATTAGAGATATTCTCTTAAGTTGTTATTTTGTTATTTTTCATAAAAATCAATCCTAACACACCTGAATTCGCCGCAGAGAGACGGAATTTGTTTAACATTACAAAATGAAAACATGTGTTAGACATTTGAGTGTTCAAACCATAAAAAGTGTTTTTTTAAAGCAAAAAAATGCAAATTTTCTCAAAAGTTAAATATCACCATTGACATTTTGGCATGATAAACAATTTCCGCTCACCCATTTACAGATTAATTATAGATCTAGTGAAGAGCAGGGGTTGAACGCGTGGTCGATGAATAAACTCAAATCGAATATATCATATGAAATGTACGTTTGTGCGTATATCATGTAATTTTTATTCCCGCCCCCTCTAACATTTTAAATAATTTCGTCGATTTGTAGTTTGGCCCCTGTCAAATAGATGAGTCTTGTAAACGCGTTAATCATAAAGCACCAAAAAAACAAAGAATCCTAGAGGTAATTTTCTTTTTGTTTTTATATAGATATTGATCCGCAGCCAATGGCAAAACATAAGAAAAATATTTAATCGATTTTATTAGTTGACCTAATTGAATAGCGATTCTTTATTTGTATGTAAAATACTACAGTATGAATTGAACTGCAGCCCAATTTAAAATAGCAAAGATACATAAAACAAAAATTATTATGATATTTATACATATATATATGGCGCAAATAGACAATTTTCCCGCCAATCACGGAATGTCGCAGCTACCAAAAACAATAATGGAAACATACTGGTGTATTGATACAAACAGAAAGAGAAAAAAAATATGAGAAAAATAAAACAGAATGTGTACGCAATTATTGATGAAACGAATTTTCTCTAGGAACAATGAATAAAAAACAGAAATTTAATTACAAAATATAGAAAAACAAACCGACAAAAAAAAATTATCTATCTAAATGAAGAACAAAAATATAGTATATTAAACGAATGAGAAAATCAATATAGTGCTGAAAAAAAAAATTAGAAAAGTAAAACAATAAGATAGTGTGTAAATTCTTTTTTAGCGAATTTAAGTTGTTCATTTTGTATTTGAGTTTTGTGTTTCATGTTTTATGCACGCGAACGAAACTGAAACCGTTGTGTCGTCACTTGAAGAGAAAAACAAAGCAAGATGAAGGGAGCATTATCAATTATTATTTAAGTACCAGACATTATAATGAGATATTTTCAGCCAGATGAATCAGCTCAGCCAGATATCGTCAGGAGCTGAAATGGAGTGAAAACAATAAAAGTGATTGTTATGGTGATTTTAACAATGTAAGTGTAATTATAACCATAACAATCACTCCTATTGTTTTCACTAAATTTCAGCTCCTGACGATATCTGGCTGAGCTGATTCATCTGGCTGAAAATATGTCATTATAATGTCTGTTAAGTACATTCAACTAAGCAAGACAAATCAACATTTTTTTCTTCGTTTTATTTCTAATAATTTCACTAATGAACAATGAAAGTGTTATAGTTTGTTATCTTTATCAAATGAAATGGACTAAAAATAAATCCGCAAAAAACAACAACAACAAATTTATTAAAGGGTTATAACAATAACAACAACAAAAAAAATAATAATAATAATATGATTTCATATATTTTAATCATGGAGGAAACAGAAACATTTTCTACATTGATGTAAGTGATATTAAAAGTTTAGTGAAAGTCGTTTAGCTTTTCAAAAACAAACAAAACAAATACAAACAAAATGAAAAGAAGAAAATACAATTTTAATTCATTTTTCATTGAAAAGTAAAAGAAGAATGACTGGCCGTCATGAGAAGCCATTAAAAAAAAAAAAAACAAAACAAACAAACAAAACGGCAATATATCATCAAATTAAGCAAATTTTGTACGATACCTATTTTACTACAGACATTTAATATTTAGAAATGATGGTTGAAGTAACAAAACCAATTGCTAATATGCGAACAGCAAACAAACACACTGCAAAAATATAGAAATGCCGCCGAGAAATATAGAATCACTGGCCAATGATGTGAATTGGCGCACCAATTTTTAATTGGATAGATCACATCAAGTATTGAATAATATATAATTCTTATGAAATGTTTAGTTAATTTTTTTATAATATAACTACTAAACAATGCATTTCTTTTTTCAATTCAAGTGGTCGGCTCAATTGAGATTATTGGCCACAATTCTAACCACACACAATGGTCTTTCCGCTGATAATTTGAATAAAATACATATTATATCGATTGCCTGAGTGAATTTATAAAAAAACACACACACATACATAATACAATATTTTGTTTTGATTCCTAGAATTCATGATCATCTCACTAATTTCTATGTGACAATATACAAGGAGAAAAGCACATATACACACAAAACTAGAGCTAATGTAAATGGATTGTATCAATTTAAAAACAAAACAAAAACAGAAACATAACTTAAAAAAATTATATAGAATATATGCATCAAATAATTAAAATGCAATTAGATATTATGAATGGGAGATGGAATGAAATACAGACCTAGAGAAAGAGAGCGAGAAAATTGTGATTTTGAAATTTTAATGTCAAAGATGAGATAAAACAAAACTGAATGCAAGCAAATGGCTTTGAATTATTCAGTCATTGCCCAGAAGCACAACCACATTTTCTGAAACCACAAGCTAAACGGATATGTTGACATAAAATAACTACTGAACTCTTTTTATGTTTCACTTTTACAATATTTTTTCTTTTTTTTTAATTTGTTTGACGTTACGATAGATAAGTTTGCAATAATATTACACCAAAAACAAAACGCAGAAAAAATGAAATTATTCATATATTTCAGTTTTGAGTTATGAAAAATGAATACGTGACATTAAATTGTACCTAGAACAAAACCTAGTTTGGTAAAACAATTTCGAAAATATGCTCAAGAAGTGAGCAAGAGCGACAGCAATAATAAGTTGACTTGTATGCTTCTTAAAGAAAAAAGTATAAGTTGTAAACAAAAATAATGCATCAGTTATGAAATTTGAACAATTCAATGTTTGCCTGACCAAATCAAATCAAGAATGCCTGTCGAATTTTGATTATCTCTGAGATTTTTTTTTTGTTCAATGCCATAATTTGAATTTTTTTTAAAAAAGTAAAATTATTGATACACAAATTTGAATTTTTTCGTGAAAATCCACAAAAATGTGAAATTATGCCATTGAACAAAACCAAAATCTCAGAGAGGGCCCAAATCCGACAAACCCATTGAAGAAAATTCTACCGAATAAAACAAAAAAAAAGTATATTTCAAAATAAATTGACTTTTTTGTACAGTAAGTCATTTCAAATTGAAGATGATGTTGAATGTATAGCTTTGGCTCTATCGTTTTTTTTAACTTTTGAAATTAAAACGTTTTTTTTTCGAACACTTTGGAAATGAAAGAGGATCTGGCAAAAAACAAAAAAAATCTTAAATAAATCAATATTGGCTGTGTATATCATATGTTATATTTTCTACATTTCCATCACAACCTCATTTTATGTATACCGAATTCATTCCCGAACGGTCAAACACATTTTTTTTCTTAAATGTGTTTTCTGCTTATAACATCCAATCCAATATCTTTAAATTGATTGTTCATCACAGAATTCTGAACAAATATGAATATTTGATAGCAATTTTCATTGAATGTTCCTCATACATGGCAAATCAGTACCAATTTCTTTTAATTCAATATGTCTTCTAAACTCAATTTGGTTTGCAATCAATGCTCAATTTCATTTTCAAAATTTACATGAAATAAAATATATTACCGTTTTGGATAAGGTTTGAAAACTAGAAAATGCCTTGAATTGGAGTTTGTGGATGCGTGCTTCCGTCGCAAATACGATAATCTCACGAAAATGTAAAAGATCACAAAGAAAAACAAATGTGTATACTCTTTCTAATAAACGTTCATGACATGAAAAGGAATTTTTTGTTTAAAAGTCAAAATTAAAATGCTAACATGAAAATGACACTAACCAAAATGGAACTAATAACTTATAAGTGCACTTATGAATAGAAAATGCAACATGAATAAAATGAGAGAGACAGAGAGATAGAACGAAAACCCAATACAATAGCATAAATTGAACGATAAACTAAAAAAAAAATTGAAAATGAGACTCTGATCTTGAGTTCTTTGCGCAAAAGTCTCGATCACATCATTTTCAACCGAAAATTTCAATAACCTTTGATTTGATGAACATATGCAAGTTATTTAATCGAAATCTCTGCTCTTTCATGGAATAAAAACACATTTCTCTATATGAATCAAGAATTATTTTAATAACAAAATTCTATTGTTCTATTTTGGTTTTG